TTATCTCTTTTAGTACGTCTGACTAAATACATAGAGAACAGAGATGAGATTGTGTTACTTTCTGATATCACGTTTAAATAATTCATTAATTACTACTATTTTTATTAGAATAGCAACTTTTATTAATAATATTAGATATTATTTTAATATATGTAAAAGAAAGCTTTACACAGACATATTCACATCAATACATGTGATATTTCTGAATTGTATAATATATACTGTATATACAGTATATAGTGGCGCTGATCGTTGCGGTCGTTTTGTAGCGGGACCGTTTGCTTTTTTGCAGTCGGCCGTCGCCTTTCGTTGAGGCCGCGTTTTGAAGAGTGAAAAAATAGTGTATATGATTGTAGGATTGCAATCGTCGACTTTTCGAAAGCCGTTTGCCTATGAGCACGGTGGAACACCAGATTATTTTGATGGCTTTCAAAAGAGGTTTTTAATCATTTTTTCAAAATTATCTATCTTTTTTCAACAAAACATTTATAGTTGACCAACTATAATAATTGATTCAGAGAGAAAAAAACAATGCTCTCTACGCCTAAGTTAAAAACTAAAATTTATTGATAATCTTTGTTATCTTCTTTAATTTCTTTACAGTACAAATCTGGTTAAAAATATAAAAAAGGGAGAGAGAAATAAAAAGTGAGTAAGGGAGAGAGAGAAGATGATAAACTAGGAATTTTTTTTCAAATAAATAAACTAAAAATATATGAGAAAGGAGAAAAAATTGTTAATATTCTCTCTCTCTTTTTTTTTCCTTACAAAAATAATAAAATCCAATTGCTAAAGGCGAAAACAAGTGAGAAAGTATTCATATCTATATATTATATATAAATGGTTTGTTCTATGTATATTTTATAATGTACTTTAAAATATGTAGAAAGGTGAAAATGTTAAAAAAACGTTACATTGGTCGATTTATTTAACTAAACAAAAAAAATCCTTTAAAATAGTTTTGCGTAGACCAACTTGAAATCTTAAATTACATACATACAAATATACATATGCAGACAGACACACTTACAGATACACATACACAGTTACACTAACACACGGTAATTTCAGTAATGCAAGCAATATATATATATAGCGTATATATATGCTGTACATGCTGCATATATTTAATGGGTATTACTTAATACTGCTTCATATATAATATTTAGCTTGTATATATTAATGAATATTTCCATCCCATTAGTTCATTCATCAAACTATTATAATGTATCAAGTGTTAGAGAAAGGCAAGAGAAATGAGCAATTGATAATCAAGCTCTTATTTACCGTGATCAATTGCAGAGTAAAATTATAGTCCTTGCTAGCGAGTGTAGGAAATTGAAAGGCCGCTTGAACTCGTTGTTATTTTTTTATTCATTCATTATCAAACAGAATATCTATTAAAGATTATTATATCACGAAGATGTAACCTTTTAGCATTCGCTAAAATATTCTTCTTTAAACGATTTGCTATTTCTTCTCTTAAGTTATTGCGTATATCAATATCTATTTCTGTAAAGAAAAAAAAACTGTATAATACGATAACATATGTATTTATTTATCTCTAATGTAACAATAGAAGACAGACATGCTTTTAGAAGGAAAGTGTTACTTTAAGGAAATAGATTGCTAAAAAATTTTCTTTACAACGTTTTTGGGAGAGAAATCTCTCCCCAATAAGGGTTATTCTCCCATAGTAAAATAATTTATTCATGATATTCTATAGACTTATAATTGTTTATGGTTTAGAAGATCGCAAGTATCTTTTTAACAAAGTTGCTAAATTATTTACCAAAATAAATAATATGGGAAAGAAATGGCAAATTATTGAAGAAATATAGATACTTATTACTATTCTAAAAGACAAGAAAGATGATCATTTGTATAGTATTAGTTTTATTGTGGTCCATAAACTATACTTATTTTATATCAAGGTATATAAAGCAAGAAACCGTCTAAGATACAATTTTAAAGGGAAAATTGTTTCGTAATTAACGTAAATCGCGAAAAACGTTGGCAAACTTCTTAAATAATAGATAAATTGAAAGACGTTTGATTGATTTTCTGATTTTTTTCCCTTTTTTCAAGAGAATTTATTACAAACTCATATTTAATTGAAAATTTACGATAGAGAGATAAATTCAATAAATGTTCAAGAGGGATGCATTTAGAATATATCTATAGAATTGATATAATCATAAATTTTATATTTTCTCAAGATTTTTAATTTCTTTAAAAACTATAAAAAACAACAAAACACTTTTTAATTGTCTCTTTCGACAATCGTTGATATCTTAAAGGTTATGTCTTCCGTAGAGACTAATTCATTTATTCCACTAAAGTGCAGTCACGTGATAATTTATAAGAGAATAAGAAGCTACAATTAAAGAAACTGAATAATCTAACAAACGTATACGATTTTATCTTATGTTGTTAATTTTCGATAATTTAGACGTCGTTCTCATGGTCGAATTTGTCAAGAATAGATGACTAGATGGTTTATCGGTTGATTAATCGCCAGTTTGCCCTTTTAATCAAATTTGTGACAGCTTAACCATGTACGAAATTTATTCAATGATCCAAATACTCGGTAAAGCTATCTATATTAATAAGTAAACTTCACTATAAAAACTTCTGTATATTAGCATTGCAATTAGAACAAAAAGCACGTAAGATAATTAAAAATTTATGAAAGTCATTATCACTCGAAGCTCTAAGCCTACTTTGTATTCGCTAAACTTATTTGGAACAGTAATTAGAAATAACAAGCCTTAAACTTGTAATTAAATTAAATGGAACCACTATTTAATTTTTAAATTTTTGCTAATTAAAATCAATACACCGGGATAGACTTTCACCTTTTCAATACTCTACCAATGGTTTCACAGAATTTTGCTGGAAAAGTAAATATACATATATATCTTTTGTATATGTTTATAAGGCAAAAAAAAGATAAATCAATACAGGCCTACATACTCTCGATAATTGAGTCAACGTTCTTTCTTCTTGTAGATTTTATGAAAGAAAAGAAACATCTCTTTAAAAGCTGTTCCGAGTCAATCAATAGTTTTAAAATTAGCTTAATTTATCTATTGCAAACAAAATGTATTGTTTCCGTACTAAATTGGATTTACCGTCTTTAATGCTTTCTTTATAAATAGAGACATTTGCTTTTTATATTTATAAAATTTTTAAGGCACATTTCTTTTCATAAATTAACATAGTAAAAAATTGTTTCAATAGCGTTTTATTAATACGCTTTTGATGATTAGTCTATCATGACTAAAAGGGTCTCAAAACGTATTCAATTCATCTATTAATTTAAAATGTCACTAACAATTCTTTGTCAATTCGTTTGATTTATCCAATAAAGATGAATGGATTTAAGAGTATTAACACTTAGTGGGTAAAGATTATTTGATTAAAAAAGGAGAGCGGATAACAGATATTTATACTAAAACATATAAATAATAAGCAAAGATAGATAGCAAGAGAGAGAGAGAAAGAGAAAGAGAGTGAGTGAGTGAGGAAGCACGAAGGGGAAGGAGTAGAAAACTATAGAAAAAGAGGTGAAATTGAGTATCAATGACCGGCTGGAAACCATAAACTCCTGCTTACAGCCATATATACTCCCTTTTTATGGACCTTTTTTTTATATTGTATTACCGTCATCGCTGGATTGTGGATTAGACTAGTTGAAATCGATCTCAATGTTTAGCTAAACTGGCGGCCTATTTGCAAGCCTAAAATGATAAAAAAAAGTATTCTAATTGAGAAAAGGTCGCTTGGGGGAATTCTAGACCATGGAATAGGTGGAGCATATAGACGCGTGTGAAGCAAGAAATTCGATTAGTGTAATTAGGCGTGCTAGGAGATTGCATCGAACAATTTTTTTGCCTATTATAATCTGTTATATACGGCTGTCATGACTATATGGATAGGGAATTTTCCCTAGGGCTATCAGATCGACAAAGGAATATCTTTCACAAACGTATAGGCAAATCATTATATATACTTGCATTTTTCATATTTTGACTCTAGCAGTTTAAAAAGTATAATGACAAAAATCATGTAAATTCTCTGGAAGAATACTAACTTAATTATAAAGGCTTAACAGAGCAGAATTTTTTCTTATTTTCATTCTGAACCGATTTGATTATCTTGCAAGGCTTAACAATGCTTATAAATACTTTTCATTTCTATTAGCTATTAATTAATGCTATGCGCTAATTAATTAAGAAATAATTACTATATTTAATAAAAGGAGTTTATAGAATAAATACTATAAATACATTTGTATGTGGGCTGAGCTGGATTTTACTGAATTAAAAGGTTTCTATAAATATCAATAGGTTAATAGAAAGTCAAAGATTTTCACTCAAACTAAAAATTGTAAATCGATTCTAGGTAATCTCTCAAAATCTTCATCAAAATAATTGGTTAAATCTTATTTTGAACTTTACTTTCTTGTAATTAAAGTATTTAATTTCAATTTCTCTACGCTTTAATTGATAAAATAATTAATAGACTTTATAAAATAATTACGGAATTAAGTTAGCAGAAAGAGATAATAATCCTTAATCAGAAATATTCTCTTTCAAAATGAATAGATCTGCTTGTGAAAATTCCTGTCCATATTTCTTTGAAGAGAAATTGACACTTGAAAAACTATAGAGGGATTATAAAATAGGGGATTGTATAACTAAAAGTTGATCATTTATAAGCGCTTTGAGAGTTTTATCATCTTTTTCAATTGTGAAGAGAAACATATGTCAATAAGTCTTGTTAAAAAGCACCTATCAAATGTAATAAATGTTTTTTATTTTGCCTTAACGGTCTTTTTTCAAATTAACTTAGGAATTAGGTCTATCAACTCCTTAATAGGATTAAAATTAGAGAAATAAATCATTTTGTGGAAAACAAAGACTTAAAAACCTTCAAGTAAAATCGATAGTGCATTTTTTTTTTAAAAAAATCTATACTATACATCGCCATTACTAAAATGTTGATTTATTATAATAGTACTTTTTCCTATATTCTTTCTAGATAAAAGGAAAGTATGGGTTTCCTCAGATCTCTTTTCATCTCTAAAACAATTATAAAGCATATTTTTTTTTAATTATCAACTTTTTCGGTAATAACATATTGTTTTCTAAAATATGATTCCCTTTAAGAAGCGCTTCTTCCCCGACGAATCGATTGACTTGATTAGCAGCTAGAAGGCCTATTTTTTGGACAAAATAAGACATTCATTTTAAATTCCCTAATGATAGAGAAAAGCTGTAGATTTTCAGTTCTTCTCATCACTATACCAACAAATTCCCATTTTCACTTAACTATTCCCCTTTCAACGTGTATTTTACTTGTATTTCATGTGTATAATGACAAATATATTAAAATATCAGCACTATAAGTTGTTGATACTAGTGAAAGTTAAAGGATTCTAATTTGGGTGTGGTAAAATACTAAATGACTTTTCAGCTTAAAAACATGAGCTTAACCTTAATCAAAGAATTCTCTTAATTTTGTAAATTCTCTTTAAAGAAAACTATTTAGGGTTTTGATTAGATATGACTTATTCGCATCTGATAATGAATGAATAAATATATGGAAATTAACGAGCCAAGAGGGTCCTATTTTTTGCTAAAGGCCTTCACAAAACATATTTTTTTAGGGATCAAAGGACGCTTATGTTTTTCTATAATGCTTTCTATCCTTTAAATTATAGATAGCATTCCCGGACGGAGAATTCTCTTGTAATTTATAATAATAGAAATTACCATTATTATTATTATTTAATTATAAGGAGTATAACCAAGATAGCTGTCAATTTAAGATGGTGTTTTAAAAATATCATATAAAACTTATTCCTTTTGTTCAATAACTACAAGTAGAGAAATTTCTATAATGTAACTACAGAAACTTGATGGGAGATTTCTTCATTATTGACTTCAGTTAGACCATTCACAGTACAAAAACAACCCCATTACCTTTTCCCATCCATTGCCTTGCATCCTTTCTTCCTCTTCCTCTTATCCTCAGGCATCAAATCAGCATCGGGCTATTCCTGTGACGTCATACATTGCCCTAACGTCAGAACGAGTGCCTGACGCGTCCCCGTCTATTACATAGACGAAAACGTTCCGAAATTCGTTCTTTTTTTAATATCTCCGAACTATCCTCCTTGATAATTAGGAGAATAACCCGTTAATCTATCTATCTCAGGCATATGTTGATTGCCAGATGAATTTCTTCTTCCAATATCGTCCAGATTATTTTCAATATAATACACCACCTCGTCTTTCCTGCAGCAAATATGAGAATGCAGCAAGTACGGCTCATGCTCTTGAGTTGGTTGCCAAAAACGAAACATTGGACGAAGGCCATGACTGCCACAGTGCCGGTTGCCAGCGGATCATCATCAATGTCTCCGGAGCCAAGTACGAGACGCAATTAAGGACGCTCAACAGATTTCCCGACACGTTACTCGGCGATCCGATTAAACGGCGTCAGTTCTGGGATGGGAGGCGAAACGAATTCTTTATCGACCGCCATAGGCCGTCCTTTCAAGCCGTTCTTTATTATTACCAGTCTGGAGGGAGGCTTAGAAGGCCTATTGAAGTACCTGAAGATATTTTCCTGGAAGAACTGGAGTTTTATGAAATTGGTGATGATATCATAAAGGATTATAAAGAGAAGGAGGGTTTCCTAATGGAAGAGGAAAAACCTATGCCAGTTAACTCTTTACAAAAACGCTTATGGATGTTCCTAGAAGAGCCGGATTCATCTAAATCAGCCAAAGTATTTGCTTTAGTTAGCGTTGCTTGTATAGTTGCATCTATAGTTAATTTTTGTATGGAGACTCTTCCAATGTTTGAGAGACCAGACTGTGTTAATAGCACTACACCCAGTGGAGCTGTCTACCAAGTAAAGAACTACAATGATCCATTTTTCGTCGTCGAATCGATGTGTGTAGCATGGTTTACTCTGGAGTTTATTCTCAGATACCTGAGCTGTCCTTCGAAGTGGGAATTTTCAAAAAGTCTCATGAACATCTTTGATGTCATGGCAATTCTTCCATTCTTCGTAATATTAATAATGAATATGTCTGCGGAAAACTGTACTGAGGAGAAGAGCAAAGGAGGATCGTTGATTGTCATACGTGTCCTTCGCGTCTTCCGTGTCTTCAAATTGTCTAAGCATTCTCAAGGCTTACGCATCTTAGGATTAACTATTAAAAGCAGTATGAGAGAACTTGGGATGTTCTTTTTCTTCCTTCTAGTTGCTATGGTTATCTTCTCATCCGCTGCTTATTACGCGGACCTTGGCGAAAAAGATTCAGAATTTGAATCAATACCGGGTGCTTTCTGGTGGGCTATCGTCACCATGACGACGGTAGGTTACGGAGACGTTACGCCTGTGGGCGTCTGGGGCAAGTTGGTAGGCGCAGTGTGCGTTATTGCGGGAGTACTAACTATTGCACTTCCGGTTCCGGTAGTTGTAGCAAATTTTAACAACTTCTACAGACACGACAGCGGCAGGGGGTATGTAGGAACGTAGGTGGTGGACACATCTTGGCCTAATTCTTGTTCAACTTTCTTTTATAGAAAGAGCTACAAAGTACTATGTCTATCCAAGAGTTCTTTTGAAGAGTGCCATTTCCAAAAAGAGCAAAATAGGTGTAGTCTCTTATTTTTCATCCGTCCGAAAATATGTTCAATTCTCATAAAATGTAAATTATAAAAAGTAATTTTGGAGAATAGAAATAGGAAAGACCGATAGTGAGATAAACACATCGAAAGATGGAGTAAGAGAAAACGATTAATTTTTTTCTTAAAATATACCAATTATATTTCTACTATAAATAGATATTAATATGTAAATTTTATTACATTTGTATATATTTAAGTAGAAAGTTTTATAAGAGAGAGAGAGAGAGAGAGAGAGAGAGAAAGGGAGAGAGAGAGATGCAGAGAGACAAGAATCAGCCAGGGGAGGGAACACTAAGAGAAGGCAGAAGATTAACATGAATACTGAAGAGTTAGCAGTAAAGAAAAGCAATCAAGTAGAAAAAAGTTTATTAATATAAAACTTTAAGACCAGATTAGAATAAATCTGAAAATAGAATTTTTTTAACTCTTAGTTCCTGCATTAAAAGCCTCATTCGAATTAATTCACTCTTTAATATGTCAAAAGCATGTTAATTTAATTTTACGAAATGCAATTTAGTCCCTTAGGATATAGTGTATAAATTTTATTGCGAGAAAAGCCTGCAGTATTGATCAACAATCATATTTCATGAGAAAATCTAAAATAATTTTATTACAATTCACTTGTATGAGAGAAAATTGGAAGCAAAAGTTTGCAATAATTTAGAATGCAACTATTTAATCATAATCTGATTTAATGAAATATGTGTTTACTAAAAAAAAGTTAAACAAAACTGAAATTACAGTTTCATAACACATTTATCATAAATCTGAAGTAATCTTTCCAACTATATACTGTATAGTTGGTAAGAAATACGATATACATTGACTAAAAAATTGATTTTATTGTTAGGTCATTATCACTTTTATCGCTCCATACATAATCAATGAGAAACGAGCTCAAAACAGTCATTTTGTTATCCTTAAAGCTATAATAAGTAAAACAGGACCGGTAACCCGTGATGCTTTCGTTTATTATTTTATGCACAGTAGAAGTTAAAAGGAAATGGTGCTCAAATAAAAAGTTTCACACGAGTAGTACAAAACAACTAAAAGAAAAGGAAAAGAGGGAATTTTCGATCCCCAATTTCTTTCTTTCCCCTTCTTCCTTACACATATACTTCCACAAATGCCTTGTTAACTTAGGCCGAGTGGTGACCTCCATTTTCGATCCGACACACTTTTCCTGTCCGTCTTCGGCTGCCTGTCGGAGGTGTTCGAATTTTGGTGCTGTTGTTTTCTTCTTTGTTAGTTTGTTCTAATAACTTTTTTGAAAAACAACTTTTATTACTGTATTATAAATATGCAGTTTATTATGTGTATTAATTAGGTATATACTTAAATCCATAAATTTCTATATTATATTAAAAACATGAGACTTATATATGTATATAGATATGTACATAAATAAGTATTGTTACACTCGTATATATATATATATATGTATATAATATACAGTACATACTATATATTTATATATATATATATATGTGTGTAAGTTTATTATTATTATTATTATGAATTTTTTTTGTTATAATAATGATAATAATAAGTTATGTATGTATATATATATATACATATAAAGGGATATATACATAAATATGTATATATATATGCATATTCGTTTGTTTCTCCTACACACCGACAGGTTTCTAAACGCTATATACAGAAAAAATGGATTATATATGCAGAAACTATATATATAATCAATTCTAGTGCAAATTCTCTAAACTTTGTTTTCTTTTTTCCTGTTTTTATTAATATTTCGACTTTATATCTGCATCGTAGTGAAAATTATACTTAGAAATTTTTGCTCAAATCTAACTTCTTTCTCTGCGAGCGTTTTACATCGGACACGTTCACGAAAAAAAACTAAATTGTTTGTTGTTATTAATTTTTTTCGTCCTTTTCTTCTATATTATAGCAATAAATAAAAGTATAAAAATACTTATGAACGCGAGTGAATGACTATTGATATATCTTTTTTATGATGTTAATACTTGACGTATTTTCTCTATAAATATATATTTATATATCAAATGGAAGGCATCATCTATCTATCTCACTTTTTCTTTCCTCCTTCCGTTGTCCTTCCTACCTCTCTCTATCTCTCTCTCTTAAGTATTTTTTCCGCTTTCTCTTTCTCCATCTGTTTTGTTATATAACACTTTTCTAATATGCTTAAACTTGAAAGAGGTTTACCAGATTAAACATTTACCAAATTTCTTTTATAAGAAAATAGAGAAAAATTTATTAACTTTAATCTTTAATGATTTTGTTTAATCGATTTTAAACATTTTTATATTATAGTCTGAAAGCTAGTTGGGCAATCCTTCAAAACAACTCTTATCCTCTAAATCGTTGTAATTGGTTGTTTAAATAGGAGAAATTATGCAAACTATAAGCAATAAATATTTTTGGCGACCAGCTGGTAATACTGAAGCCAGATCGGAAGTAGACGTATTGTATTATGGGAATTATTCCTTAATTCCGGAACTGATGCTGTCAAGTGATGAGATGATTTGTTTTCCTTCAAAATGAAACATTATGTTGTCTTTAGAATGAGAAAAATTACCAATAATCAAAATGGAACAGAATGGAAATAAATTTGTTGAGTAAGACGTGCCTGTGCTTTTCTTTAAGCCTCTTTTATTAAAATGATTAGACAGTGGATTTGAAGGGTATTGTTGAAAACCTTTTTATATAACAGGAAATGCATGTACACGATTATACAACATTTGATATGATTTATAAAGAGCAAAAAATGCATTGAAGAAGGATTTTGTGGAAAAAATTGGCTGACTTACGCGATATTTTGATTAATGTAAACAAAAGTTTGTCAATAGCATTAAGTCGGATTTCGATAGCCGAACGTGATTTTGTTCTATACAGGTGTAAAATCAAATAGTGCAATTTTTTCATATTCCATAATAAATAGGCCTACGTGAGTTAGAATTTCATTTCCGATATATGAAATCTATTGTAAAAGCAATAAGATTGTAAAGCGAAAGGAGTAGATATAACAAGAAATTTTCCTGCAGCATAAAAATAAGATATAGTTTTTCGATGTTGCCGACCTTTAGTAGCATAAAAGATTTAAAGCAAATCTTAGTATTCATATGACAAATATAAGTTACTTGCGCAATAAAAGGCTTCCATTTACACAAGTCCGAGTTGGCTCAGTGAATACTAGACTCTGAGCATATTGATGTTCTCTTATATATGAAAGCATTTAAGAAGGAAAAGGGGTAAAAATTTTTCAGCTACTAAGTACCTTTACTTTCAACACATATAAATGATAATAATAATTTATGTTGGATTACTATTATTGAACTTGTAGTGCATTACAAGGATTATTTTTAATTTGATATGGTCTGGAAAGTAGATAAGTGCCCTAAAAGATATCCATTTTCCAATATTTCCATTTTCTGACTGTAAAGAATCTAACTCTTTTATATTTTTGAAGGCGGTAAAAGGAAAGATAATAGAAAAATCAAAGCTCTAGGGTTACTGATCATTTGGCGAGATTGTCTTATAAGATAATCTTTAATTATGCATAAATCATATAAGATTGTGTTTATTTCTGAAAAGGAAAAACCATGGGAAAGAGTAGCCTATTTAGAGATACGGCTAAATATGACCCTCGGGAAATTCTAGACTCTTATCAAATTAATCAATGGCAAATAAATAGATGAACATTACCTTGCCTAGTAGTAAGGAAAGAAACTCAGTTTCCATCCTTTTTAGTTTGCTATATAAATGTTGACTATTAAACAAAATGAGAAATTGTTTAGATAACAAAACTCCTTCTATAAACATTACAGTAAAATCAAAGTCAACTCTGCCTTCAGACTCTTATCAACTTTATCCTGATTTGTCCCAGGAGAAGCTTTAGGATTAATACAAAGGCAGCTATGCAAAAGAAAACAATTCGCAGGAAGAAAGGAATTGGATTCGAACTGCAAAATTTCCCATTTCCGGATATTAATACAGTTTTTATGGGGAACTACGCTCCGGTAAATAGTGCACCGTCTGACCTATATTTCTTTTATGCCATGACCGAAAAGTTTTCGTTTCCAAGTTTATGTATAAACACAAAAGGCTTCGTTGGCGGCACGAATGCAATAGAACTGCTGATGCGAAGATTAAAGCCATTCTGTACATGTTCTAGTGTCATTCTTAGTATAGAAACCACAGTAATTATCGAATTCTGCTAGAACCGATAGATGACGCTTCCAACTTAAAGCCATCTACTAACCGTTATAAATGCATTTTGATAATTTATATGCTTAACGACAATAATCTGACTGTAAGATATGTCGTCTATATCATAGACAAAAGAATAATATTTCATTTTTTCCCATTAATTACATCCTCAGTTAAACTAAATTAACGATTCCTGGAATATTCATTGCAAAACCTTTCTATTTATTCTACTCTTCCCTTCTTTTCCACTGTCTATAATTTATCCTTTCTAATTAGGGCTGTCTCTACCTTTTAAAGTTGTCAGAGTCCAACTTTAGCTAAGAAAACAGGTTTTAAACTGTATAATTATTCTGAAAATTTACAGTATTTACATTAGAAAACAGCGTAATTATTTTCTAAATAATATATATTAATGTTAAAATCGTATAGAAGAAAACAATGAAAAAAGGGAATATTTTTTTTTTAATTATTCATAAGATATATTTATTTTTTGTTCTTTCATTATTTATTATCTAATTTTGATGGAAATTAATTATTTATTTCATTTTTTAAACTATTATATAAACTCCTACAAGAATTTTAAACTGATAAAGTCACAAATAAAATTGATTACAATGCTGTTTCTATAGTAACATCCAAAAAAGATTATTATTTCAGTCTAAAAAGAAATGTATAGCTGTTTCTAGTCATTTATTCATATATCTACAAATTGAATATATATATATATATATATATTTGTTTATATATACCTCCCAATATACTTACACAAACTCATATATATATATATAGCATATATATTATATTATATAATATATTTAATAGCTACGAAAAGAAGAAATTCTATTCTATTTGATTTGATAGCGATAGAATGTCTAATTTAGAAGAAAGATTTACAAGAAATATCTAAAAAAATATAGTTCTATTTATAGATTATCAGTCTGTTGACGGATTTTTTGTTTGTCAGTAAACTATATGAAAAAAATCATTGTAGCTACTGTATTAATTCTTGTCTACATCTTTTAGTAAGGACGTTAAAAGAGAAGAAACGGCCACCTAGATATTTATTGATTATCTTCTCATTGTATTGACTTATGTTAATCTGGAAACCATTAATTAATAATTAGTGGCAAATTACTATAAAATATATGTAAATAGTGGATATATTTCATCCTAAATCAAGAGCAAAGGGAATTGTAGACTTCAAATTTATTCACTAAGCACCTCCTTTTTACGTTTTAGCGTCTGTGTTTTGTCATTTTAAATTTTACTCATTTAAGCAAAAATACTTATTTTATTTAAAGTACAGTCAACCTTTTCGTATTTTAATTATTTCATTGAGTACTGCACTTTTAGAACATATGCACAATCTTTCACTTTCTTTTCTTCGCCATTTCCATTATACTTTGTAGCCTCATAAAATGGAAACGATGAAAGGAACCAGAAAATTTTGACTTAGAGGATCAACTATCAATCAAATTGTCAACTAAAATTACTCTACCGAAAATCAAGTTCCTGTGGGATGGATAAAAATCAATCACTAAGACGTAAAGAAAACAGATATTCTTCAACGCACAGGAATTCTTTCTTTATTCCTTACATAAATCATTCATGCGATTTTTCAAAAAAGTAAAATATCTGTTTGGCCTTTATTTATGTTATAGATAAAGTATTATTTCCTTTACCAGAACAACTCTTTCACCTATAAAAAATTCAAAGAACGACTTGTTAACTGATATCTTTAATTAATTTATTCTACTTACGCTAACCGGTCAGCATTCCGCCCATCTGAGTGCTTTAAGTTTCTAAATAGACTTATAAAACAAAGAGAAAATTTAGAAATTGCATTCCTAAAACGATAAAAGACAAAGAAGAATAGAAAATAAAGGAAAAAAGACATTGTTTAACTACCGAGACAAAGAAAATAGAGAGCTTAGTAAAAAAAAAAAGAGGAAAAAGAAATGAAGAAAACTTTCATTATACTAAAAGAGACAGAAATCTCGTCTAATTTAGTTCTTTATAATTTTATTTTACTGTACAAATTTATAATGGAAAATGAATACAAATAAAAAGGAACAAAGAATAATTATACATCTTATATTTCAAATTATATTCATACAGGGAAAAAACCTACTATTATAAAAATTCATTGTGTTTTTCTTGTCTTTATTTCTTTCTGTCTCTCTCTCTCTCTTTTAATAAAAAAATATGATGCTCTTAACAATAAGAATGATTTTATTATATTTGAGATATGTATTATTTTTATATATAAATTTTTTTCAATAAAAATTCAGTAACAATATGTTTTTATTCTATTAATAATTAAAGTATTTTATTTCCTTTCTGTCAATTTGTAAAGTACATTGTTTAGTTTTTCTTTCATTAATATATTTTATAAGTTAAGCATGCAATTAAGATATCTAATAAATATTGAGAAATATATACAGTCTAGATATACAGTATATGCATGTCTATTGGTACTAATATATGCAATATAGATTGTCTAATATCTCACAATATTCATAACCTTTACTTATAACTTCACTTTCCTCATTTTTTCTACTTATTTACTAAAATCAAAATGAGTTGGGAATTATTATATTGTTTACATAATTATTTGTATAGGTCATAGTAATTCACAAATTACTGTATATTCGAATGCACAATGGAAAGTAAATTTACCATTGGCTTTTTCGCCTAGCACCCAACAGATGGAGACACTATATCATAGCCAGCGTATTTTTTTCTAATTGGGAAATACGAGTTCTAAAAAGAGTTTGTAATTTTTCAGACGTAGTATTGTTAAAGTTCCTCTTTTTTATAATATTTTATTTCCTTTATATATTCTTTTTCTTTTCATTTAATATAGATTATTACCATAGAGTGTATTGAATTTTAAGATTTGGATTTTCTATTATGATAGAATGTCAACAGTATATACTAAATTAGGCATTGTAATTGTTACTTATTCCGTTTCTGAAAAATGGAAAAGAAAATAAATAAAACGTATAGAAATATGTCAGAAAATTAAATAATATTGGGAATATTCATTCTCAATCAGTCAATAATAAGAACAATCTAATTCTTTGGCTTGTAACAATAAATTATTGATAAAGAAAAAAATTTAACGTATAATATGTCTTGTTCTACGAAGATGATATCTTCTACATTATGAAGTAGTCGTTCTAATTTTCTGTTATTGAAAAGTTATAGCTATAGCTAAAAAGAATAAATAGGTGTAAATATACTGAAAGAATAGAGACCCTTTGCTTGTTGCCTAAATGGTAATGACCTCAAACTGTAGCAGTCGTGATTTTGTACATACGTAACTAAAAAAAAAATCTGTTTCATCTTCTATCTGCCCTCTAGTGTATTCTCAAATATTTGACTATAGTCCGAATATATCTTTCTATTTTACCTTCTTCTTTTAAATAAACATATTCAGTGATATTCATTTTCTAGTATATGCTTAATTAACTTTATTTTATTGTAAATTAATTGAAAAAGACCTTGAGCATGTATGCTTCTATTAGGCCTAATTTTAATTATTTGATTTTAATTATACATTTTGGTGATATTGTTGGTTCTTAGCAAAATTTCCAGCCAAGTGTTTGAATAAGAGTGTCTTTGATTCGTTTATCAGTAATATACAAATAATGGGAAACGCCGTCTTGTAGCGTGGTCTCCCAATTAGAAAATATTCAGTTAATCCGATATATGCACGTGTACGAGACTGAAAAAAATTTCTCTGTACAAGCCACGCCTCTTCATCGAGATATACATAAAAAAGTAAAGCTAGAGGCTGTTTTATAAATATTGATGAGCAAGCTTTTAGACCATTGGCTGAGAGCTTGCATATAAATGAGGCTCTTGCAGTAGTGAGCGGATTTTTTATCTTGGAGAAAATTGTTCGCCAAACTGCCGTCAACGACGGCCAAACGTGAGTATAAAGTTTTTAATCGTGGCGTCTCCTGATTTACGGGCGTCTAATGACTACGTCGATCCCATTGTCCACCTGCGTCCCGGGAAGCGCGGGAGAGAGCTCACTTCCGGCGGCCTATTTAATGAACGACGAAGTGACATCGTGCAGAGAGACGCCGCGGCGAATATGTAACGGTCGGATGAGTTGTGCTTTTAAGCGATTCTTCTCTTTTCTTTGCAGAGGACAATATGCAGCATTACGCAGCCGACTGCAATATGTACTTTCCATATTCCAGATTTGCAGAGAACGGAATCCAGAGGTAAGTTTATACGCAATTCTTTGCGACGCTCTTACGTCTACTTCCGCTCTTTTCAACAACGTAACAATCCTGTAAAAAAAACTTTTCTACTAGAGCGTCTTTTGTTCATCTTTTACTTGCATTGACGGAGTAACGCTCTAATGCTTGCGGACAAGCGACGTCTAACAGAGGCGTCTATAATCGCCGATATCAGCTTATCAAGCGTAAATTAAGCACGACATATTTACATGGCTATTCCGGCTTTTTGCAGATTTGCAGAAGATGCTCACCTACGACCCTACTCATATTACCAGCCTCCCCCCACTTATTTCCACCCTCCACCCTCTCTCCATTTACCACCCATCAAGCAGGAACCGTGCGACGCTTACTGTAATAGTAATGTTACACAACCTTGGCAGCAGCAACAATCGAAAGGTTCGTGTCATTTTAGTTATTCAATAAAGTCATTATAACTTTAAGCACACTCATTTAAATTCACTAAATACATATACCTATGCAAGTATGTAGATACCTGACGCTACAGGCGTCTCGGGGGATTTTTAAACCGTTGCTTGTTTACCAACAAAACAGCGACGTCACTGCAGTTGCGATTGCAGTCTGGTAGACATTTCAACCTTCTTAATTGCCAGCTTGCCAGAGATGTTGTTGACTCAAGTGCTGTCTGACTAATGAGCTCGATCACGTGATCGAACCGGAAGTAAAGTGCAACACGTTCACGGTTCCCGTCACGATCGACGGAGAAATATTTTTATAGTTTTCGATCACGTGATATTGCTGTTTGAAGTCAAAGGTTGCGAAACTTGATCTAGAAACAGTTATTAAACAGAAACAAAGCTCAGCGTTAAGTTTCCATAAAGCAATTGTCTGGCAAAAGAAAAAACTACAAAGACAAGATATAGTCTTGCTCTTTGTTTACATCAAATGTTCAATGAATTTATATAAAGCCTCTTGAGAGAGTAAATCAGTGATATTTAATTGATATAAATGTCCAAAAAAAACTCAAAATAATTCACGTGAAATATCGTCGCATTCTTCTTTTCTTAATGTATAATAACTGAGATACAAGGAGAAAAGAAATTTCTAAACCGTAATTTTAGGTAATTCCATTTGCGGCACACGACTGTAAAAGCTGTATGATATGACGTCTTTCAGAGAATTTGTAGACTACAGCGCTATTCAAAATTCTGTTAGCTGTTGGGGCTAATGAAAGCTGTGCGTAACGCTTCATAATACATTATACATGAGTACATCAAATGTATATAATTAGCTTCGTGTTATTAACCCGAGTAACAAGAATGTTCGTCATTTAAATCACAATTAACCCTCCAGTTAAGTAAAAAGCAGAATGACACGTGACCATTGCTAAAAAGAAGATTAATCCGCATTCGGAAAATCTTTAGGGGTCAATGAGATTACTTAAGTTCGGTGAAGAATGCCCACCCATGCGACTTTCTTTTAGCATATTGCCATACGACTGTTCAAACGACCTCTACCCTATAAACTAAGCAAATGCAGAGCGTCGCAGGTGACGGCGGGCTTTGCGCAGAAAGACTTAGAAGCCCCGGTTAGTCACGTAAGCGAAACGCTCATTCCAAATGACATTTGGCCGAGCACAAAGAAAGACTAGAGTTATATAGCTAGACGCCGTAGCATCACTATTGTCCGTCTAATGCAGCCGTCTTGCCTTTATCCACCATATTTTTAATTGAATATACAACTGGCGGCGTCATTCGGACGAAGTCTGCCAAACGGATGGATGAGCACGTCAATTGTCGACCATTCACCGTCTCATTGCTGGTAAATTTGTTGTTGACCGCCGGTCGGCCGATTGCTTTAGTTTATGAATATTTAATAGGCTTCGCCGCCGCAAATTATTGCAGTAAACGTGATTAGTAAAACGTGACGGCGACCGAGCAATCAGAGACGACGTTGCGTGAAAGATCGACACGCGTGCAACTGGATGATGACGGATTGATAGACGACTTAGACGCGCGGCCTTTTTCACACTGTAAAACTATATAATATTTACTACTGAATTGAGCATATGCTGCTTTAGAGAAGCACTCTTTCATTCGCTTTCTTTATTTTGCTATTTTCGTCTATCTTTTGTAAGCTTTAAAAGATTCTCTAAATATAGACGCTTTCTTGTTGTGGAAAGTATGTTTCCTCCAAGAAGTTATTTCAATTGCAATGTTATTATACATACCGCAAGGCATTGTACTTACTTTTCGTCCTATTAATTTTCAATCATTATTTCATTTCCCTAAAAGAAAAAAACGGATTTTTTAAATAATTTAATAAGTGATGTTAGTAAATTTGTTAATTTGTTAACTATTTGTGCATGTAGAACCGGAAATTCTTATAAAGGAGTAGATTTACAATTAAGGACTCTTGTTTTCTTGCCCACTAACTGTTATAAGGGATTTTTCCTATCAAGGTAAATATTTTCTCTACCATAATCAATTACTTAGAGAGGTGAGCATCTCTTAGGTTCAAATCAATTTGAAATAATTAGCAGTTAAACAAACAATCAGCCTTCCCTGTGATTTTTTTAGTAAATCCGAAAATCAGTAGGATAACAATCAGAGTACGAGAGAACAGTTGCGAATAAAAGGGAAAAGACAGTTTTACAACGTAGCGGCCGCCCTTAATAGAATATAAAGTATGGGAAGGGTGACGATGGAGGGCTTTATAGAATCAAAACAACTCGCTTTTGCATTACGACCTTGTAAAGATTGGAAAAGGCTAGAATATTTTACTTTGTTACATAATTCGTTTGCGGGGACAGCGGGGCGACGGTTAATTCAATTTTCTCGGGGCAAATCGCGACAAGCATTCACTGTGTTGCCTTTTGACAAACCAGGTGAAGAGCGCGCTAAAAAGTCGATTAATCTCGACCGACTATAATTACTGAAACACGAGCTAGACGTTTTCGGTTATGCACTGCGCGAGTTATTTAGCCGTTTCATGACAAACTATAGCCATAAGTAAATGATGCGCTCTTTATATTTAGTCGTAATGCGATATTGTAATGCATTATTAAGAATGTTGAGTATGCGTAGGTTACAAGGTGATTTTTTACTTCAAGGAACAAGACATTTAGAGTAATTTTTGTGATTTTAAAATGTTAATACTTAGCACATTTATTAATAAAATATAGAGAGGTAAAAGGAATGCTAAAATATAATATAGACAAACAATTCATAATTATTATATAAATATAAAAGAACATACAATACTTTATTCCGATTTCCTTTTGACAACTACGTAAAAAAAGATACTAAATATAAAAAAGATCATCTTCGCCTATTATTCCATCGCTTCTTATAACTCGAACAAATAAAAACTCAGCTTATCCAATAGTTTGTCTTTGATGACAAACTGTTTAGTGAAGGTTGTTCTTAAAAAAAGGGAATTAGAGCGTTTTATAAATGATAAAATATTGTCGTTAATCAATAAAAACAACATTAGAATTATTACTGTAAAGGAAGGAAGTCACACTGAACGATTTGCTTTTTTGGCAAGAAAAATCTTATGCAAAATCCAACATAACTTGAGAACTAAGTATTATAATTTTAAATCTACCTTTAAATAGGAGACCAAAGTTATAACGTATTTTATGGTTTAATAAATAATCCTAATTAAAAGGGTTCCTATCAAATAGTGAGATATTTCTTTCATGCTGCTAATCCCACGATTTGACGCTTGTGCTCTTTTTCTAGTCATTTCCACTTAAAATCATTGGATTGAGTATAAAAGCTTGGATGAAATATCGGTAAAAGATTCCAAGAGTTTGTCCCATTTGAAACTTCTTTACTATGCAAAACATATACATTTCTTTATTTACAATAAGTAATAGAAAGAAAGATAAAATTAGAAATATTTGAATCGGATCTTTCTTTTGTTATTTTATTAAAGATAAATATATTTTATGTTTGCCTTGGCAATGAAAACCTTATTTCCCATGTTAAAAGCACATATAGAAAAGAAGAAAACTATAGACAATTATTAACTAAAATACGAAGAAAAACTTGTTGATAAGCATTGAAATATACAAATACAATATATGCATACATATACTTTTTCGTAAAAATTCCATTGGTTTTCTATATCTTTTGAAATAGTTTAATAATAAAGTTTATAATTTAAGAAACAAAAGTAAAGGAGGTACATTTATCTTATTCATTTTAGTTTACCATTTCGAAGGATGCTAATTATTAACTTTAAAATAAAAAAAATGCATTATTCCTAACTATATTTATAATATTATTGTTAAAGTTTTTCCATACAAAGCATCATTTGTTTGTATTTTTGTTTTTACTCGTTTTCTTCCTCTCAAATGTATGTTTTATATATACATATATGTATATATATATATATACCATTTTTTTTTATCAACGTAAAATATCCAAAGTAAAGCTCTTAGGCAACGTTACGTGCAATAACAGATTGTTACTGATTAAACTAAACAGATTATGAACATTAGGAAGTATTTTGTACCGAGAGCATTGTGTCATCATCTTGCTGTTTTTTTTTTCATTTATTTTATAAATAAGAAGAATGAAGAATATTGCTTAAAGTAATGTTTCTTGTCAATTCTTTTCTTTTCGAATGTCCAATATTCATTTAGGAGAGAATACTAATAAGTTTTAATGATTATTTTACTATAGGCTTTTTAGGGAAGATAGCTCTCAGACTAGAGAGTCAGGGTTGGATTTGAGCCGTTAAAACCAGCATCCGACAATCTTGATGTTTTTTTGTAATTGTTTGCAGAAAAGTAAATATTTTTTAAGAGAAAATATAGGCCTATTTGATGAGTAGAATCTGATGTATACTAAATTATGCTCAAATAGGTAAAAATAGAGAAGGTTGAAGATTTTTAAAGTAATTAAAGTGTAGAAGGGGAGAGCAGAAGAGATATATATATATATATATATATATTGCTATTTCTTTATTATTTTCCTTTTATCTCTTTTCTATCTTTTTTGTTCAAAAATTTTAATCTAAAAGATTCAATATTGTAATTGTTCGCACTTTGACATACTAACCAGCTAATGTATCTGGCTAATCTGCCCAATACCGTTGTTGCCACATGTTTAGACGATGCGCATATGACAGCGAACCGTCAGTAGCGTGTCGACATAGCCATTTGGCAAATTAGACGGCGGCGTCTAGATGCAACTAAGACGCTCTGAGCGTCACTTCAGCTACTGGTCACTTTTCCTTGCGTTTAATCCGCTTTCGTTGGGCTCTTCTTTTTTTTTCGTATAACATATTATTAAAGTCACCCTATCTAGTTTAGGTGGAATAAAAGACCATCTAACAAATTGAAATTCCAGATACCCAAACAATATGTAATATTTCTATAAGCATATCAAATAATTTCTTTCTAAGACAAATATAATAATCTCTGCTTTCGAATTAGCTTTCGAATCGGACGGTAGAACAGATGACGAAAGCGAGAGATCAGGAGAATCCCCAGCTAGATCTACACTTCAAACACCAGCCGTTCACCGCCGTGGTAGTTTACAACTTTGGCAGTTTCTCGTTGCGTTACTGGACGACGCGAACAACCACAACTGTATCGCCTGGACTGGTAGGGGATTAGAATTTAAGCTTCTCGAACCGGAAGAAGTAGCCCGGCGTTGGGGAATGCAAAAGAATAGACCAGCCATGAACTACGACAAACTCAGTAGATCTTTGCGCTATTACTATGAAAAAGGAATAATGCAAAAGGTAGCAGGAGAACGCTACGTCTATAAGTTCGTCTGCGATCCCGAAGCTCTCTTCTCCCTAGCTTTCCCCGATAATCACCGGCCTAACTTAAAGGCCTCAGCCCCAACGTCTGGCCAATTTGCTCAGACGCCTGGTGGATATGAACAGCCTTCTAGTGCGCCCTCTTTTGATCACTGTGTGTACTAATTGTATTGGTGTGTGAGATTAAAATGAAAAAAAAATGAATTATTTGTAAATAAAACTTCCTAAGTATTCTTCTATTTTAAAATATACTTTAAAGGGAAAAAAAGAAGTAAATTTCTTCATTATCTTCTCATTCTCACTTCTCTATTAACTTTTGTAACAATTTGTCGTTTAAAACCTAAAGCAAATGCATTTCTCAAATTTCTTTCTAATTGACTTTAGTTGTAGCTTAGAACAAGAAAACTAATATTAACAAATTAACAACAATCTCTATTTGTACTTATGCATATAGATTAATTAACTAACTACAAGTTAAGGATATTTATATAATAATTAGAACTAAATCTATTTTGTCATTTCTTTCATAGTTGTAGCTATATATTGTCAACATATATATATATTATAGTTTGTCTTCAGTTACTAATTATACGAATATGAATTGAATGATTTCATGCAAATCTATTAAGTTAAAGAGAAAAAGGGAATATTTGTATCTAAGCTACACGAAATCTAAAAATCAATAGATATTTTATTCAATAAACAAAATGAATTACAGTTTTCTTTAAGGGAAAATATGAGAAATTAAAAATCACGTTTTATATATATTATGCATATATAATAAGATGAAAATTTTGACAAATAAAATAAGATTTTTCCTGTTAACTTTAATCTAAGCCTAGATTAAGGAGACTTATAATGAGCTGCATACTTGTTTCGTGTTTACCTTCTGTTAAAATGAGTAGAGAAACACTAGTTTTAATTATTATAGCCTATGTGTCATATTTTTTTTGGATTAATATTATAGAAATCGGTTTTATCTCGCTTGTATGTTTACATTGTACACCGATATATTGTATAGTTCCCATATATAATTATGGGTCATATTAACTGTTATTTAAGTCTAAAAACAGAAAAGGGATTAAGCTGTGTGTCCTGTAATTAATTTATGTATTGTGATAAGCACGGGTGCTCGGCATGAACCCATCTGTTTTTATTTTTGCACACTTAAAAGGCTTTCCTTTATCACTGGATTTATCCTCTTACATTTTGGTGTGTGCCTTATCTATTCTCTTTCCATACTAAACAAAAATTTAAAAGACAAGGAAAGATTCTTTCTTTAAATAAACCCTTTGTTTAAGTAACGATTTGGCGAATATGTTTTGATGATATCTAATGAATTACATAACATGAAAACAAAACGAGCGCTTACAAGTACGAATATTAGAGATCGTTGTAGATTTCTACAATGTACCCGTAATTCTTTCATAACGCTGTCCTAGCGAACATTATGAGTTTGAGAAGTTACTTATATACTTTTTTTTTATAAATACAATAATCAATCTACATAAGTATAAAAGAGAGAAAGAAAGAAAATGAAGATGAATACCTAAAGAATGACAGAAATTTTATGATAAAGTTTAGCATTTTTATGTTAGATTTTTCATTTAGAATGATATGTATTAGTAAATCTAAATTGTTAATTATCTGTTCTTTTATCAATTATGTATGTTATCTACTTGTGTTATTGACTTATAATAGAATCTATTGAGAAAGTTGAAGATATTACCAAATGGTAAATTCATGGATGAGTTTAATATGCAAATGGAGGAGTTATATACTATAATTAAAGTACCTATATAGGCTAGTATATGCTCTAATGTATGATCGAGCTTACAATTAAACTTAGTCAATTACTGGAGTAATTATCATTACAATGTAACCATAGAAAGTGTTAAAAAGTTATAACAGAATAATTTGTCTAAATTCAAATAGCTTTGCAGAAACTTTTAATTATGGTTTTACCTAATAACTAATATCAATTTCAACGATATCTTACTCTCCTCTTCCGTTTCTTTTTTGAAGTTAATATGAAATTATCAATGTAGAGGATAGCTCCCATAGTAAGTTATAATCAATTGATGATATATCAAATAACTGTTATTTTCTCATTTCTCGCTAATATTTACGGTGTTTTTGGTTTCATATTCCCAACAAAATAATAATCAGATTAGTATGGTAATCAAAGATGATGAATATACTTATCCTATAGTATACACACGATATATATTAGTATGTATGTGTGATTTATAAAAAATAAGATTTAATTCTGCAAACTATACATCTGGATGCAAATAGAGTACTTTATAATCTCTTAAATTGAATAAAGTACTTTTATTCATAGAAACATAAAAATGAATCGATATCAGTAAGAATCTTGATAGAGACATTCGTTAACGTTGTTAAAGGGTAGACAGCGATTATTGACTTATTGTTTATATTACTGTAGTGAATAAAAGCTAAAAAATTAATTGTTCATCTTGAACCATATTTCCTAATTAATGTATTTCTCATAAACTTTAGATAAGCATAATATCAACAGTATTATATAATTAACTATATATTCACTTTCCATAATTTCTACTTATTTTTTAAAGGGAAACTCCTCGTTTTCAGACACTTTTACAAAAGCAGATCAACGTCAATCTGCTAGGTACAATATACATTAATATTTTACTTCCATGTGTTCTTTGTTTCCCGAAATTATAATGAATATCATTTCTATTAAACAAAATAGCACTGTAATTATCATGTTGTAATAAAGCTGTGAATAATAAGAAATGGAAAATATAAACAGTATATATAAACAGTATTTATATATATAAAGTATATATATTTATATATATATATATATATCTTTTTCATAGTTTAGAAATAGTATTGGCAGTAAACAAGAACATTTAAGAAATTCTCACTCCTTTATTTATGTTATATACAGTATTTCTTTACAACTATATACTCTTAAGGTGAAATTACAACTTTCGATTCACATCACGCAGAGACAGTATGCTTATCTCATATTATACCGAGAAATGTTATCCCTTTTTGTAATTTCTAATATGTTATTTGTTTCTATGTCAAGGTAAGTATGAAGAATAAAACATTGACCATTATCTGAAAAGTATGACACAATACTTTATGACAATAATTGATTGCTGTATTTATAACTGTATTCTGTATTTACTCTCTAAAGAATTCCAGTGACATAACTCATAAATTCCTAATTAGTAATCATTTATAAGTTTAACTTCAATGAGAACTGCTCTAATAATAAGAATGAGCATTGGATTTCTGATAAACATATATATTTTGAATACTTTAATACATTTTTAATTAATATATATTTGAAGTATCCAGTAACACAGTCAAGGGATCTTTTATGATAATTTCTTATCATTATCTTATAATGCTCTAGTAAATTCATCAAGTAAAATATGCTCCTATTTCTTCCCACATTATTTGTGAAGGACGATTATTATTTTATTATTCCAAATAAACATTATATTTATATATTATTTTTTATAGTAAAGAATACTTTACATATAGCAGATTATTAACCTTTAAACCTTAGAAAGCAAAGATAAAAAAATCTTGAAAAATTCAATAAATTGTACTATTAAATAAAGTTTGCCACCTTTTTATTCAAAATTGCTTCTTAACTTTTTTTTGAATTTTTTATCATTAACTGATTTCTCAAAGAGATAATTAACTATGTAAAAACAATATATATATATATATATATATATATATATATATATATGAAGATGGATTCTAATATTCTATTTCATCTACAATATTTACCTTGTTCTTATTTCTATTAGAAATACTCCCATTGTTCAACAGTAATACATTAAGATATAGAAAAAACAACAGACAAAAATAGTATGTCATTGTGACCCATAATAAATTCGTAAAAATTTCGCCTTTTGCCATATAAAATACGTTTATCAAAAAGGATATTTTACTTGAAAAAAATTGATTATTAAAATGTTGACAATACTTGTAATTATGATAAAACCCATATATAAAAAACTATTGAATTTTCAATCAGTACTGGTTCAATGAGGCAATGTGTAAACTTTTATCAGTGTGTTTCTGCTATCAGATTATCATGCTCTATTTGGGAAAAAAATACAGTTGATATAATATCGCTTCTCTGGCTTATTTCATGCTCAAGGTGGAATAATGTACTATTCTATATTTATGCATAGTCGTAATTTGCGCCATCTGTTGTATTGCTATACACCTTATTAGTTGGTATAATTAACCTATGCACTCGAGACTTTATCTCTAGATATCTGCAAAACATATATATAAATGTATCTGACAGATTTATAGAATGAAAATTATTTAGTACAATAGCAAGAAATTTACGAAAAAATCTGTTCAAATAATCGCATTGGCTTTTTGACAGATAAGATTTTTATAAAGCATAAAGTATCTTGTACAAAAATGCTTATCTCAGTGTTGAACGGTAGCTTTTCCTTTGTTCAGTCTATTTTATCATTAAGTTTATTGTATAGGTTTTACTAATGTCATAGTCTTTATCGCAAGAAATAAATATAAATTACTTCTGCATTATGTTTTTGCTTTTTTTAAATATAAATTGTAAGTTATATAGGAAAAAATGAACGGACAAAGCTAACATTTCTCTTTCTCGAAGACGTCTAGTATCTTAAAATTAATATAATAATTGCCATAGGAAACTTACTCACAGATGGCACAATACACTCACCTCTAAACAGCGCCCTCTATTCATAGATTTTTCCTTATCTGGTGACAAATAGGTCTATTTCGATAAGAATTGTTTGTGCAAAGTCGAACAAAAGCAGCCACAAACATCGCTTTTACACAATCCTGCTATAGAGGTTAAGCTGCGCAAAATATATAGGCCTAGAAGATATTGTTAGAAGATAGATTGTTATGCGATATATATATATATAAATTTATATATATATATATATATATACAATATATGCAATACATGCAAAATGAAATATAGGCGATGCAAAATCTTAAATTAGGGGTAAAAGACGAAAAAGCTAGAAGAAAAAAACACATTAAGTAAGATTTCTTGTAAGGGGGAAAGGAGGATAAATATAAAGGAATAGACGAATAAGAGATAGCGTGAAACCAATCTCTAGAAACTTTTCTGTATCGATAGGCGGGCGAGGGAGCCCGTTTAGAGCAAACATATATACACAGCTCTTTCGTCGTTTTTCATGCACGCTCCAACTCGTCAATTCAGGTGCGCTCAGCTTATCAGGCCGCTCTATTGTTTCGGCCAGATAAGAGCCGTACAGTCGGCGCCATGAGCGAGTCGGACGAGGAACTAGACTTTCCCGAATTACAAACGTCCGGTATAGACGGTCTTGCAAACGAGACGGCGCTGAGGGCGCTCATTGACCGTACTGGATACCCCATCGTCCAACAGAATGGCCAAAGAAGATATGGTCCTCCGCTGGATTGGCGGCAGGCACCACCATCCAAAGGAACTGAGGTATTTGTCGGTAAGATACCAAAAGACTGCTATGAAGACGAATTGGTCCCCGTGTTAGAAAAAGCTGGCCCAATTTATGAATTAAGATTAATGATGGATTTTTCTGGGGCAAATCGTGGATACTGCTTTGTAACCTATCAAAGCCAGGAAGATGCTGCAAAAGCCGTCCAGGATTTGAATAATCACGAGATCCGCAAAGGTAGGCCCTTGGGAATTTGTCACAGCGTCGACAATTGCCGATTGTTTGTCGGCGGAATACCGAAAACAAAAACAAGAGAAGAAATAATGGCAGAAATGAAAAAGATATCTGATGGTGTAAAGAACGTTATAGTTTACCCGCTTGCGGCGGATAAGAGCAAAAATCGAGGTTTCGCTTTTGTTGAATATGAATCACACAAAGCGGCAGCTATGGCCAGAAGAAAGTTGATGCCGGGTAAAACCCAGTTATGGAATCATCAGATAGCCGTTGATTGGGCAGAACCCGAGCAGCAGGTTGATGACGATATAATGAGCACTGTGAGTGTTATATTTAAAATATTTCTAATCAAATTTTCTTCAACTTTCAATATGAATCTTTTATCTATAGTAACACATTTCTCGTTTTGTACTAATCGCGTTAAAGGTCAATGATTATTCATTTCTCCTTTTTTTCGCTATTTATATTGTTACTGTATATGCATTTGTAGGCCTAAGTAGAAAAAAAACGCCTTATCTAATGCGAGCGTAATCTTTGCTGAGTTTAAAGAGGTGAAAAAAATTCGTGTTTACTGCCCTTCACACTAGTCCTGATTATTCTGAAGCTTTAGACCCTAAACACCATAATCTTTTATCAAACTTTGGATCTTTGGAGAGGGATAAGGTGACAAATGAGACTAGTTCTTCACGTAGAATGTTCTCTCTCTCTCTATATATATACAGTATATATATATAAAATTTATATATATATATATAGTTATACTCGTAGATTATATAGAATGTGCGCGTGCACGTACCATTTGTCACTTTTTTACCCGAACATAATTTCAAGCCCATAGCTGTGTACTGCCCCAGTTTTTCACTTTAGCCATTCCGCTAACTGATTAGTACTTATCTTCCTTTGAAAAAGGGCAGACAGGTCGAAAATCGTCGTAATTTTTTTATAACAGACATATGATAAGACCAGACTGTTATCTGATTAATAAAATATCAAAAAATGTTTTTGGAATGTTCAAAAATTCAATATTGTATTCAATTTATAAAAATTTTCAACAAAAACAAACTTAATCACAAAAGAGGTTAATTAGATAACAAAGAATAGTTGTATTTTCATACTTTCAATTTTACCTATTTATTTTTGTACTTAGCGAAAACAGCCATCTTAAGCCAATATAACCTTTATATTTTTTTGTCCGTTGAAAAATTATAGGCCTTATACACTAAGTCGCTTTCATGTTTGCTAAAACCTCAATAAACAAGCGATCGCTACTTAAAATATCTTTGTGAAATTGTCACTTGTTCAAAATATGAGTTAGTTTAAAAAAAATACTACAAAATAAGTTATACGTGTAATGTTCTATAGTGCGAGTGCGAATACATATAACGATATAAACACAAATATAGGCTGACATAGAGTGATTGGATAGGGGAAACAATATACCTTTTACTTCATTCTCTTATCGAAATCTCTGAGTGAAATAGGAAAAAAAAAATAGAAACAAAAACATTTTTCTCCCACTTTTTTAATTCTTTCTAATACAATATACAAAGTTCTAACGCTAACTATTTACACAAGTTTTTACTAGTAAGATGCTGATTATTTATATTATATTATAAACATATTTTTCAATAGAATAAAGAGTTGACAATAAAATAGTTAAGAGAAATCAATATACACATTTACAAGTGGGAAAAAAAAACAAAAAAATTCATCAATGAATGATTAGATATCAATTGTTATCAGTAGTATAAAATGGTATTGCTTCTATAAGGATAAGAGTAGTAAAAAAAAAATAATTCTATAACAAAATTTGAAAGTAGAAACTTTGTTGCTAAAACCTTTTAACTTGCTAAGAGAAGAAAGGAAAATTTTTTTATATCAACTTAAATATAGTTTATATACTATACACATATTTATATTTTGTATATACATATGAATATCTGTATTTATATATCTACTACTCACTTTTGTAAAAAAGAGAATATGAGGGGTTGAGGGGGGAGGTGTGGGGGGTGGGATAGAGAGGGGTTATAAGGGTATGGTGTAGAAATATGGAGTAAGAAAAATTTTATTCATAGGCCTACTTGTTTAACAACAAATATCCACGTAGTATCATGTAACATAGAACCAAACAGAGGGGTAAGGAATAATCGAAAACGTTTTGAAGTAGAGTTATCAAATTACATGGAGAAATACTAAGAAAGAAAGAATATATTAAGGATAATTAAGGAAATGGTTATTTTTCCTTGATATAGACCTTTTACCAACCTAAGATATTATATGAATCAGTATTACTAGTAGTTTTTAGAGTCAATTATGTCTAGATTACTTTCTTTTTCCTTTTCAGCTATTATAAGTTGCGACTTGTAAGCGCAAAATCTAATGTAAACACGAAAATGACAAAGCCGCGCACGTTCCATATAGACATTCGAATTGACCCACTTTATTTACGACCTCCTTTATTTGCACAGGTAAAGGTACTCTACGTTCGTAATTTAATGTTGAACACCACTGAAGAAACGCTAGAGAGGATGTTTAATGGGGCAGTTAGCAAATCAGATGCCGTTGAAAGAGTCAAAAAGATCAGGGATTATTCGTTCGTTCACTTCCGGGAGAGGGATGACGCCTTGAAAGCTATGAAGGCCGTCGATGGTGAATATTCTATTTCTAGAATGTATTCTTCCACAGTATCAATATTGACGAAATGCATTATTCAGGAACGTATATTGACGGAGCACTAGTCGAAGTCGTATTAGCTAAACCTGTCGACAAATCCGATCCCCGCTATATAGCTAGAAACGCCCATAAGAACGCAACGACACCAGTATCTACGCCATCTAACGCTAATTTCGGCGCTTTACCCCTTCTGTCATATGGAGTACCTGCTTATGATTATAATGCAGCTAATGCCTATTATGCGCAAATAATGGCACCATACGTTCAGCAAAGACAAATAATAAATCGAAATTTGATGGCTAGACCAACACCTAGAACCGGAAGAAGCGGCGCGGCGTCTAGTTCTAAAACAACTTTAAGAAGTGCAGCTGAAGTAAGTTTAGTTTTCAATATCAATTTACATTTATTTTTTACTTTTTTTTTATTATATTTTACAAATACGTTTTCATTATATTGGCAAAATATTCAGAATTCTCAAGGTAGTCGGTCCTAATCAGATAAGAGAGTACTTCTGTAAATAGTTTTATTTCAGCATTAATTAAACGGATTATTATATTTTTTTAACTTATTTAAGCGTAAACTTATTTAAAATTTTCTGTGTTGTTTTTTTTCATTTCTTACAAGATTAATTTAATTTTTACTAAACTTTAACTATATATATATACATTTATCTTATAAATATTAATATTTATATATTAGCTTAATATTTATTAACATATTAAATATAGCCGTTAGTTCACAGCAAAATACAAAGTCTGTTAGCTTTTGTAAGTAAAAAATAGCAAAAACTTTTATCAATTTTTTCCATTTAGCGTATGTAGTGGGGAGAGCTTTTCTTTTTTTTTCTAACTTATTTCTTGTTTCTTCTCATTATTCATCATTTTAGTTTTATCTTCAAGATAGAATTACGCATGTGTGTGGGATGAGTATAAAATTGAAGTAATGTGTACAATAAAAATCCTACTTGGAGTTTATATATATATATATATGTATTTCTCTCTTAAGACAATAACATAACTAGGCCTCGTAAGAAACTTTTAGCTTATGTTTTATTTTATCTTTCAAAAGAGAGAAGAGATTTAATTCTTTTCGTTAGATAAAAATAAGCTGTATTTGTACAAAAGGAAAGTTCTTTATGAGCAGGGATACTTAAATTTAGCCTTAAAATGAAAGTATTGTGCTAAAATCAATTTTATATAAAATCTTACTGCTAGTGATATGACAATTTTTTTTAACTACAAAAGCTTCTATTGTAAGGAGGCAAAAAACCAAATAATTGAACCGGAAAGTAAAAAAGCCATAAATAATTCAAATGTTTTGAATATTATTAAGATTGATGGAAAGAGAATAACCACATTAAAGAATTTTTTTTAAGATATAGATTAAAAAGAATTCAAAGACTTCTCTTTACAATAGAAATAATAGAAATATATAAGCCAAGCTTAATCAGTATTCGTCTGAAGTATTATGACCGATATAAGTAGTTTAGTAATGATTCGAGATATATGAATATGAGTCAGGTTAATCTTTAACTGAAAATTAATAAAGACTTCTCGTACGTTTACAAGATACTCATAAAAGAATATTTAGATTATCTATAAAGATGAAACTAGCTTATTTCAAATAGGATACGTATATAACTGCAGCATAAAGCCACAACAGAATGTAACATAAGAATTGAAAGTTAACAGGGGAGAGAAGGAGGGACACAGAATATTTAAATAAAAAGGAGAAACATTTTCACTTGTCTAGTTAGAATTAATTAAATAATAAAATAGAAAAATTCTATAATCCTATTAGAAAAATCTTTCTTCTATTACATTAGTAGCTAGCTTATGCAGTATAAAAAGCGGATATTTGCGCATTCTGTTCTAGTTCATAAACTGCTTAACATTATAAAGATAAATAATATCATAATCATTAATATCATTATATGCAAATATCTATTAAGATTAAAAAACACTAAATGTGTAAACTAAGGCTTAAATATATATATATATACTAATATATATATTAGTTATTAATATTCCTGTAAATACTACTCTATATAGCGTTTATCCTATATAGAACTTTTTTATAAGAAAAAAACCAGAATACTTTGATCGACCTTATAATAAAACATAAAGGTGCGAAATTAGGCGATACTGGATAAACTTTATCATTTATTCTTCCAAGAAAAATCCTATCAGTAAAGATTAAAGTTTATTTTAATTATGCATATGCAAATTTATTTATTAATTTATCTTTATTTACTGACGAATGATAAATTTATGTTATCTTTGGAAGAAAAAAGTCTCTTAAAAGATAGTAATAATTATATAGAAGCAAGTAAGAAATATTCTATTAATAAGATAGCTTAATTAACCTTTCTATTGATTTATCCAGTACTTAAGATTTTATAGATTTTAGAAAAAAAATTATCACATTTTCAAATATTTAACAATAAAAAAGCTTATCAATCAAGTCAATGAGAGAAGAAAAACATTCGTAGCTCTTATAAAAATTTATCTACAAACACTAAAATTAAACATTTTAATGATTATAGAAAGGAATACAATAAAGATTTATAAGATTTATCAAGAAAACAAATTTTTCTCTATTTTTACATTAATTTAGTTATTTCATGGTATTTATTTTGAATCGACTGCCTTGGGAATGAAGCATCGTTGAATATTGCTATAAATTTTCTGCACGATTTTTCTGATTTTTTTTTAAATGAAAACAAAACTTTTTCATTCTTTTTATTAACAACAAAAAGCTTAATTGCGTTGATCCGCAGCCGAATTCGAATGAGCATCGTTCCAAGTCTCTTCTCGAACAAGTAGGCCTTAATTTGTTTTATTCACGCTATTTCCGTTCGCCTTAGTGATTATATACGGATATAGAACAGGAGCTTATTGCTTGTGCAGTTTCATTGATATACCTCTACTAACCATACTGATAACGTCAATTTCTGTACAATTTAACTGTTTCTTTTTCATTTTCTTGTACCCTACTTTTATTTCATCCTCTTCTAGAGAAAAAGTTTAATTCTTTTTAGTAACTTTCAAACAATTTACAAAATAAGCAATTTAAAACTAAAATAGATAAAAGAAATTATCTTTTAAGATTCTTTTTCTTATTGATTCAATTTGATTGATGTCTTCTTTTTTTCCCAAAAAAAAAAACAAAAAATTAAAGAAATTTGAGAAAAAAATACCTTTGATTAATTAGATAATGTAAAAAAAGAAAGAAAAAAAGAGCACAAAGAAAGAGGGGAAAAGAGTAAATAAAATAAAAATATATCACTAAAAATTGAACAGTCGTTATATTCATTCCTTTATTCTTTTTTTTTTTCAAATTTCTGATTAAACAAACTTGAATAAGTTTTATTGTAGAGAAAAGAAAAAAAAAGAGAATCCCTAGTTAGATTTTACACACCAAAAAAAAAAAAAGAAAAAAAACTAGTTTTTGTCATATCTTTTTCATTTTTATATCGCTAAAATCATTGCTGCAAAGATGATAAACAAAAAAGCTTTTGTACAGAAAAACTAGAAATTTTGCTAATAGAAATCAATAATATATTCTTATATAATAATAATAATTAATATATATATATATATATATATTAACCTATTTGTTCTTGATTTTTATACAAAATTTCTAAGAAAAAATTATAAAAAAAACAATTTCTAAAAACTTTACGACTGATAATTTTGCGATTATTTTTGTTTTAACACTCTATAAACCCAATACTAAGACAATTTAATTTTTAATACGCAGATTCTAGATGAATTTTGCACTAAAAATGGTTGGGGATCACCTGTTTACCAGTTGCATTCTGCAATTGCTAGAAATCCTACTAATACAGCGGACGTTCAACTTTATGTCTATAAAGTAACTATTCCCGGATTGGTCAATTTAGGAATGGGAACATTTCAACCACCAACTTTGAGTGCAAGCGCAGATGAAGCTAAAAATTTAGCTGCTGAAACAGTTTTACAACACTTAAACGTTCCACTGGATCCATCCAATCTCCTTTTACAGCACAATGCTATGGATGCTACTTCACCACCACCACCAATGATGCCTGCTAGGCAATTAATACCAACTCCGGCTCTCTATCCAGCAGTTCCAATTGCTGATACTTCGTATTTGTCTGGATTGCAAACCATCTATCATCCAGCTTCTCCTCACCTTTACGGAATTCAAAGTTGACCTGGCTAACCGTCGCCTTCTTGCCTTGTACGTATTTGTTCTTTTAGCACCATGACCGCCATCTTTATTAAATATTTTTTTATCACCCTGTTTTTTTTAATCACTATCACACATAGCCTTAAATACGTACAAACAAAACAAAAAAAAAATGCATTGTATTGAATTTAAAAATCATGGGCATATATTACCTAGTCTTGCCTTTCCATCTTTTTCATGTTTTTGTTTAGGTATACATTCCGCTACGTCTCAGTCTTTGTAAACAAGCAAAAAAGAAAGACATTTATACCTTGTTTCGCTTTAATTAATATAGCTGCGATGTCTACGTTAAAAGTAGTCAATATTCTAAATGTATAAACAATTTAAAGCGATGAAAAGGTTGTAATAGTACAAAGTATAGTGAATGTCGAAGGCCTAAGGGGCTATTGGCATTTTTTATAGATACATGAGTAATATTAATGTATATTTAAATATTTATTAATAAAGAAATATATATATATATATATATACCGTATATATATATATATATATATATATATATATATTCATATTAATAAATTACAAGTTCATTAAGTTAGATATGTCTGTATTATATGCTGTCTTAAAAAAAATAATAATATTACATACCGTCTTTATTCCTTTGAAATTAAGGAATCTAATACTTAGTAGTTTTTGATCAAGATAATTTATGCAGAAGTAATATCTAGGCTAAAAAGTTCTCATATAACGTCATCTAACGGTCTGAAGAGAAACATTTAGATTATGGACGCCATAGTAACAAAACCTGTTTACAACGCTATCGCAGATATTAAATAAGGCAAATCTCGTTAATGATACGTAGTCTGTGCATTTTATTCCAACAAATTGTAAATGCCCAGGCAAAGCACGATAAAAACAGTATATGAAAATAATTTTAAGGAAAAACTATGAAATTCTTCTAAAGAAAATAAAGAACTTTTTCTCAAAAAACAAAGTAAAAAAAAGAAAAAAGAAAAGTTCATAGTTCAAGGCCAAAAAGGAAGAAATAGAAAATTTTTTGCCTATTATTTTTCTTTCCCATTTTAGTTTGCCTCATTTTCTTTCAGATACATAATAGTTGTAAATAGGCTTGCTTGGAAATATGCTTACCAGATGGTCTTTCTAGATATAAAAACTTTACTGTATGAAGTGTAAGATTTCTTGATCAAAAGCTAATTATTATTATTACTATTATTATTAATATTATTATTATTCGTACCATTAAAATTACTAATATCATTATTATGTTTAGTAGAATGTATGTTTACATATATGCCGTATATACGGGATATATATGAATAGGATATACATGTATTTATAGAATATAAGATATCATGTGGGTATATACAGAGCATATATTTATACTACATAAAATGTGTGCCGAAAAATTGCCACTGCAGAGCTCATTTAAGCATTCAGATTGCCAACTGAACCGTCCAGAATAAAAAAACCAGAAAGCGATACGTCGCCTAAAACATTTAGAGGGACTGATAAAAAAAACTTTATCAGATAACGTCCAAAATGGCGCGTATAAACTTTCTGTTTATACATATTTTTTTGTAAATGAAAAAATTAAAGGGAAAAGTTTAAAAAAACTATAAGAGAGAGAAAATGTGATAAACTGGGAGATTGATAAAGAAAAGAGATTGCCCATTTTTATTGATACTAACATAATATCAACATTTTCCTCATGCTTTTAATACATCCTGACACCATATTCTCCTCTTCATTCTCTTTTAGTCTCCCAATCCTCACATTTACCATTCCCCTCCCCCATCACTCCCCAACTATCTCATTTAGTCTCCCTTACTCTCTCCCTTCCTCCCTCCCTCCCTCTCTCTCTCTCTCTCTCTTTCTCTCTATACATATTTACTCTCAATCTATCCTTCTCTCTCAATTTCTTAATTGTCAATTAAGAATTAAATAATTAAGATTTTATAAATAGAAAAAGATGTGAGAAGAAAAAAAAAACATTTAAAATCATTTCACACTAACACTTAAAAAAAATAACAGTATAAAATGATTCGGAATAGGCTGCTCTGATTGTTTGGCTAAATTAATTTTTTAGTAGAAATATCTTATTATTCCTTTTTTCTCATTGATATATTATATGACTATTTTTTATTGTAATATTATTATTTTTTTTAAAAAAAAATGCTGTTTGTTCGATGTGCACATGATTTTTTTTATTTCGTATGCGTTTTTTGTGTCCGTAACATATCAATAAAAAAAAATTTTATCATTCTAGTCTGTGATTTTTTTTCGAGTGTTGATGATTGAAAAAAAAATTATCGGCTTGGAATTAGTATGCGCTCAGGCATGATAACGATAAAAATATTAATTTTTATCTATATACTATAAAGCATATATAATTGCGCAGCACGCATTCTTAAATATTGTTCGCCTCCATATCTTATCGAACTGACCTACTTTTCGATTATTTATTCACCATAACAACTTGTTGATAATGGCTGTAAAAGAGTCAAAAAAGAAAGAGAGAAAAAGTTTGTAGTAGTGATGCCATCTGCTGCATTTTCTATTTACTATTTATTAATTCTTAATTTATTCTGATTTATATTTTTATTTTATTACTAACAAAATTTCTATTTACAAGAAAAAACACGATATATGTTACTTCTTAGCTATTCCTCATTTTAGAGATTCTCCTCATCTTTATTTCCACAAAAGTTATTGTCTACTCAATGTAAATCCTTTTGGGTAACATCTAAATAAGGAAACTTATCATATTCCCAATTCTTTTATATTCTTTTCGTTTTGACTAAAAGTAAAAAAGATAAGGAGAGAAGGCAAGGGAAAGGGAAGGGATAGTGAACAATCATATTTCTTAGATTAATCTTGTAGTATTATGTATTAATTATAATATATATATATATATATATATATATATATCAATAAGAACCATTTTCGATGTTATTCATACTCAGCATTTCAATCCTTTTTATCACAAAATGAATAACGATTTATGACTCTTACGCACGATATTAGATATATAATATTCCAAAAATTTTGATAAATTCCCCTGCAATTCTCTCTTTAATACTCTAAGACAATGTTTATAGCACATACCGTATATATATATATATATATATATATATGTATACTGTTTGTTTATTTCTATATAATCCTTTAAGTAATTATAGTTGTTATATTTTTTTCGTTGTTTTTTCTTATATAAATATATTCTAGCGCCCTCTATCGATTTGTTCTTCACAAAATTTAGGTTTATAAATGAGTTGCATTAAATTAGTCCCATATGAATTCTTCTCGTATTATTTAATTGGTTTCTTTTCTGTACATCTAAATTTTCTAGATAAAAGAAAGATATTTAATGAAAACCAACAGAGGGCGTGGTATGCTAAGAAATTTTGACGTTCTATAATGTTGATATCAATAAGAATAGGAGGCTGTTTGTCCTCTGATATTAATCTACATTGCGCTATGAGTTTTACCCTGTGGTGATACAGTAGCACAAGCATCAGATCATATACAGTAGTAGAAAACAGCCTACTTATATATTGTAACCGTTTCCGAAGATGTTATAGAAAGGTTTTCCCTAAATTAAATCAGAATTTAATGAATAGGAAACATTAAAGGATTATTCAAAAAAAGATAAAAGATATACTAATTAACTAATTAACCAGTTTATTATTCATTCTTTAATTATTAAACTATCTTTAAAAAGGAATAGGAAGATACAATTAATCATCAATTTAGACAAACACGTATGTTTAATGATATACCCTCCTACTAAACACTCACAAGTATTCAAACTTAAAGGCTTCGCTTTTTAATGAATACAATACAAGGTACTCTCTAAGCCACTAGCTATTCTTTGAACTTATACCAAATGTTATCTAGCATAAAAGTCTGGTTATCTGGTAAATAAACTTCTTTACTAGAAATTCTACGAAACATCTGTTTAGCTTTAAAATCTGATTTTAAAAAAATTCCAGTTAGGTGGCTATAAAAGACACTTACAGAGTTTATCTACTCTCTTTTGGTAATAGTTTTAACTATTTTCTCTTTTTTTAGGTTAGAATTTTTGTCAAATTGATCAACAAACGGGCTTAGGATATTAATATAGGAAAAAAGTAACGCTACACAGATGACGCTTCACAACAGCGACATCTACAACGCTATCATTTTTTCAGATCGATAACAAAACAATCAAGATAAGAAAGCGGCTAATAGCCGAAATGGACGCCTCATTAACATTACAAGCGTCTTCGGAACAGCAGTACGTGCACATCCAATAAGAATATGGTTTCTCGTCTCTTAGATCGCAACCAGCCAAGCTTACATTCCTTTGCATTTGGCAAGACCTTTCTTTCGTGCAGCTTTTTATGATGGACAGCTTGGTACTAACTTCTGAATAGTAGACGGTAGTTTGGCAAACGTCAAATTCTTCGTCACAGTCCAACAGTTTTTTTTCGGTATTGCATAACTCGTTCGTGTGTTCGTTTTCACAGATATAACATTTCAAAGAGCAAGCTGTATCAGTTTTCACCGCTCATTTACATAGAACGCATTTATTTTGTTATTTATACAACTAAAGGAATAAATTAGTGAGAAGAAAAATGCCAAGATGAAGGGAAAATGTTTTACCTTTTTCCTCAAAAAATAAAATACGTTTTCTTTTTTTTTTTTAATAAAACAAAAAATATAAATAATTGAAAATAAATCTTAACTAATTTCAAAATAAAAGATAGCCTACAAACATTTAATAATGATAGTTTTAAAGTAATGCTTAAGGAAGTATAAAATAAAACAAAATAACAGAGTGGTTCAATTGGATAATATACATTCATTTAAAAATTAATCATGCTTACCTGAATGGATAGTAATCAGGAATAGAGTAGCATAGAAAATAGAAGAATTTTCTACCATTATCATGTTACTTTCCGGACGACGTGAATCAATTCGCCTTCTCGTCGACCATTTTTCCCTCACGCCCCTCTCGTAAAAAAAAACGCCACGGTACCGACAATGACGTCATTCGAATTTCGAACGAGGCCGATAGAATTTTTCCCTAGCAATGTTTCCACTTAGGCCTAAGCTGAAACCTTTGGTACAAACTGACCTAATTTATGTTTCTTTCCCTCTACCCTTCCTCTCAGCTTTACATTAATAATGATAATTGAAAAAGTCTATACGATAATTCGACAAAAATAAAGCTTTCCACTCTCTTTTTTTTACCATCATTACAATTAATTTCTTTGCTATAACAAACCAAACTAGCCATAAACTAATAAAACCGTGGGAAACTTTCCATTTCTTGTTAATACATAAATTTGCAGATATATTACTTTAAGTCAATTTTCATGAGGATCATTTCTAGAATGTTTCCAAGTTACTACGAGACATCTCATTCCTTAGCTTCCCTTTATATTTTTTTTATAAATTTAGGCTGATAAAAGGCCGGAAGTGAGATAATATTTCCTCTTTTGTTAAATAAAAAGTTCATATACTCAAAACAAATTATATATCGACTTTTGCATTGTATATTTGAGGAAGTATCAACCTAACTGTAACTTGCGTACAACTGATCTAGCATCAATTAAGAAACTTAGAAATAATAGGTTTTTTATTCTATATATAGAAATTTGTAGATGTTATACTGCAATGGACTATGATTCCAAATCAATTATAGATTATTAGATAAAAGCTAGTTCTCGTTGCATCGATTTTTTTCTGATATGTACAAGGTCTGAAGAAATTGAAAATGAATTACGTCACACTTTAGCCATTGTTTATTCATCAAGAGTTCGTTGGTGGTTGTTTTTGAAAAATTTCTATTAATTTTGCATAGTATATTCTATGTTGTTTATACTTGGGGTAAGGAAGCATAGCAGATTCCTTAAAAATTAACAATTTACATATTGTATAAATACAGATTATATAGATATACTAATATATATTAGTATATGCAAGTATTTGTATGAAACGATACACACTGGTGCTTTTTACGCTTAAATTACTTCAACTAAATAGGTCACACAAATGCCAATTTTTGAAGTGAAGTATACTGTTACCACTTTAAATTTTAACCAATCAGAATCTTAATTAGTTACGTCATTGAATTATCATTTAAACAAGCAACCAACACCTCTCCAGGTATTCCTTACATGAAGGTGAAAAAGTCACAACCAGACTATTTCCATTTATTATGACATTTACAGTTTCATGCTATAGAAAATTTAATCTTTATATATTTACCGTATACTATATTTGATCTAAAATAACATTAGCAGTATAGGACTAAAGTTGTATTTCAAGCTTGATATAATTTTCTTGAGAAATTCTTATTTACAGGACAATTGAGGAAAGCAGCCTTAGAATATTTATAAGATGAGTTAAAACATTGACATTCTTTTTGAAAAGCTTTTAAATAGTGTTTTAAATTGATATTCAAACGAAAGTGACTAAGTCACTTAGACGTTCGATATTTTAAGTCAGAGTAGCTTTCATTTTCTCGTAGGGTAAAACGACTTGACTGGAAAATATCTTTTTCATAAGTCTTTAATAAAAAAGTAAAAGATTAAAAAGGTTAGTGAATGGACCATTGAAGTTAAGAATATAATAAATATACTATAAAGAAACACTATGCAAATGTTTATATTAACTTGAAATATACAGTAGATTCCAGTATACGGTATTTTGAATAGTATACTAATCACCAAAAGAAGTATTTTCACTTTAACATCAATTAATCATTTAATAAGACAAGGAAGAATCATGTTACTCATGAATAATTGAAAAATCAATGCAACATGTATATATGTCGCCTGTTTCTCTCCATCTTTTACTCTCCTTCTCTCTCTCTCTCTCTCTTTCTCTCACTCACTCACTCACTTACTTACTCTTTTTACTCTTACAGACCAAGTAAAATTGTACTCCCATCAATATTAGGGAATTGGAGACCAAATATTTAAATAGACGAGGTTTCATTTAAAAAAAAATCGATTTAGGCCTTTAAGAACGGTATTTTCACTCCTATTTCCCTTTTTTTGTAATAACCTGTCTGTTTCTTTCTCCTACTCTTCCTACTCTGTATTTTCTGCTCTCTCTCTCTCTCTCTCTCTCTCTCTCTCTCTCTTGTCTCCGTCTTCACATTCACTGTTTCAATTTTTTTGTCATTTATCCCCTCCAGCCTTTTTTTATATTTCTCTTTTGGAGCTGAACTAAATCAAATGACTTTTAGTGTTAAATAAATATATCGTGGAGTTGAAATTTTTCGCATTAAACTTATATATTAAATGTAGTTTAAAGAATAGTGCAAATATTTCTCAATAATATAAATTGTATTTATTAAATATGTATCCTTTTTCTGTTAAATTAACTAACTCATTGAACTTTTGAAGACAAAAAGCCTAATAACAAAAGTAATCCTCTCCTCTCTTCTTTCGGTTAATAAATTTTCAAGAGATCTCTTTTTAATTATAAAAGTCTAAAAAATTATTAATAAATGCTTGTAATAAATTTTTTTACATCTGCATGATTATGTTACAAATACTGCAATCAATTAATCATCCTAAGAAAATTTAAATGTTTGTAATTGTTTTTCTAGTATAAACTTTTAACTAATGAATTTTGCAACTTCTTCCATCTTTCATCCTCTTTAAAGTTTCTTTCGATAGTTGTTTGATTTTGTTTTAATAGTCTTTTCTTCCGTTCTTGTATAGGCCTGCTGGCTTTCTCAGACGCTTTTACAAGAAGTCCGACTGGTAGTGAGAGAGTTAGCCTTTCAATTAGCTCATCCTCGCAAATTCTATCGACCACTTCCGCTTTTGGGTTAACTGGGCCAAGAGAATCTGTATTAGATTTTCCTAATTGTAAATCAATATTTTTTCCGAAAGAGGGTGTTGCACTTTGTCTCCGAATTGTTGGTAATTGCTGCTCCCCTTCAATAGTGCCCATTCTTGCTTGATTGCCTGTAGATTTGGCTGTTTTGACCTTTACTTTAGGTAATGTAATAGGACTTTTGTCGTCATTAACTGGATTACAAAATCTCAAGTTTTCATCAGCGTCAAATAATTGTTTAATGAAGAATTGACGTTGGTTCCAGTCTAATGTCCGTTCTCTTCTTTTCATCTGTCCATCAATTTTAGATATTTTCCTGTTTAAATCTCTTTGTATCCAAGGATTTGAGGAGAGAAGAACTGATGTTAAGGCAGTTTTTTGAGAGCTCCTAGAGACACTCTGCCTAACGCCCTTTTCATCGGACCCTGAGAGTTCTTGAAGAAGGCGTTCGTCGTCTTGCATGTCCAACGGAACGATAAGACACGAAGGACGATAAAACAGTAACGGATAACAATTATAAACGAACTTCTTGTTGACCGAACGTGGGTTCTAGATCGATGTTGTCTTGGCGTGTTTAATCGAACAAATGCAAAGCTGGGCGCCTGTTCAAGCTTGCATAATGCATCAATTGCTCATTAACCATTCAATACCGCTTTTAAACAATTGAATCTATTGTCTTTATACAGTTCAAAGCCGTTTAGTTTAAATATAAATAAACCAATTTTCAAAATTAAAGTACCTTTACATATTTTCTAAAACATAGATAAAACAGAAAACGTCAAATTTCTTATATAAGGTTTACTGTTGAAAAAAATTTCAATCACTAATAATCAGTTGGACTTAATTATCAATATACAAATATAGAAGTAATATATACTTCTACAGAAGTAAATTACTTACCAATATGAAATAGAAAGAAAAAAAGAGCGAACAAGTCTAAAATGGAGCTATTATATTATAAAAAAAGAAAAAGTAGCCTATATTCTATTGCTTTTCTTATCGAAAAGAAATGGTTACACAATATAGAAAAAAATAACTATATAATATTTATTCTTAATTATTTTTTTTTATAAAAAACAAATATTTTCAAATAATCAAAATTTTATGTTTCTTTCTTTTCTTTCCTCTATTTTTCCAAGTCTAAAGAAAACTGTTTCTTTTTCTTTCTATTCATTTAATTCTTACTCCCTACAAGTTAAATATTAAACATTTTGCCTATTCAACACATTTTTTCACGATTATTTTAATAAATAAAGAAGAGTTTATAAAGAATGAAAAGTTTAGCAATTTTCATATCTATTTACCATGAAAATACTACATGTAAACAATAGATGTCTATTTTCAATATAAATCAATATAATGAATTCTTTGTAAAATAGTATAGTTCTATAACTATATTCATAAGTAAATTCGTTTGACAGGTTAAAGTAAAGTGTATATAATAAATGTATATATACACATCTTGGATAGAATTTATTTTTGTATTTAAATAGAATAAATTAATATAGTGTATGTTCTGTCTATATATATATATATATATATATATATATGTATACACACTTTACTAACTATTATTTACATAACTTTATAATAAAATACATATTTCGATATAATAATTTCTATATAATAGAGAAAATAATATAATTTTAACATAGATCAAAACAGCCATTAAGCACGAAAAGACTGAAAAAAAAGATAAATGATTTCGTGCTGTGACGCATTTGTCAATTGATTTAATAATTGAAGAAAAGTCACAGAGTTCTAACGGACCGTTAAATTTTATCATGTAAGTTTATATTCAACCATTTGTGAAGAAAGAAAAGGGGAGAAAATAAGAAAAAGACTTGATTTTCTTTATTTCTATTATTATTTTATCTTTCCTCAATTTGTATCTATAATGTAAGAATGTATAGCTATTGATAAGTCTCTAATTAATAAGCTTAAACTTAACTCTTCCTCAATGTTTATTGACTCTTTCTTTGAAAATATGTTTAATGAACAAGGATTATCAAAGCTTTGTACAATTACATATAGATATATATGTACTGTAATGTAAATTTACATTCCAGCTCTTTCATCTCGCATAAATTCACTAAATTGACCTTTTATTTTGAAAAAAGTTAATTATATTAGTCTAAGGGAAATCGATGTAAACAATTGAGCTATGATTACAAAATTCTCTCCTGTAAATAGACACATAGATCCTCCATGTTTATATACGATATTTTGCATTTTTCTTTCCAAACCACTTATGAACTTATAAAGTAACGATTATATATTAACAAAATTTTAGTAAAAGGAATCTCATGATTAAGTTTCGTTTGTTCAATGAAATATTTAAACATTTTCTTTTTATTCTATACATTTTTTATATTCATTGTTTACTTGAATTAATAAACAAAATCCCATTCCGCATTGTCTTCGTATTATCGAAATTGTAAATCGTCCTTGAAATGATTTCTCGACAGAAGTGATCAATCGTTGTTTGCATTAACTGTAAAAACTGCAAACTAGCAGTTCGTCCTTATAAAATATAATGAGGAATTGTTTTTATAGCGAAACTATAATCAATTTTCATTGATGTTGGAAATGAGAAGAAATAGTTTCAATGTATTGTTTATGTTTTAAAGAAATCTTTTTTTCTCATAAATTTCTGATAGTAAACCAATTTTCTTTTCAAAAGTAATTGATTAAGCGTTTTATCATTTGTTTTTTAAGTAGACGTAGTAATTTATTTATAGTTTCAAAGTAACTTTAAATTTTCTTTGAGAGAAGATACAGTTAATAATCTAGTTAGCTCGCAACACGACAGATGTCATTTCTGTAGAAGCTTCTTTGTGTCTACGTTTGATTTAACGACATCTATCGACCAGTTTAGCTCTAAATCCAAAATTAAGAAACAAAAGAAAAACGGAGATTTTAGAAGGTAGAAGTACAACCAAAAGTGAGTTCTTTCAAACAAAGAACTTTCAATGAGCCAAATTTTTCAAAGACATAAAAAATATATGCAATTCCTATTATTCTAAATTAATAAAATTCTCTTAACTTATTAAAAGCAATTTACATATGAATATAATTTTCAATGTATAATCCTTCATCAATATATCACTTCCGGATTTATTTCCAAGTAGAATAGCTTAAATACTGAAAAGTAAAAGGAAATAGAATTATCGAAAGATCACTTGCAAAGTGTTAAATCGTTGTCAAAAATATTCTATCTTACTACTTGTTTCGCAAGGTAATTATAGAATAAAGAAGTAAAAAATATACGATTACAGTTTTATAGCACGTTAAATTATTGATAAAAGGCTTATATGTGAAAGGAAAAATGAATAATATTCAAATAATACTTGATTAATAAATAAATATTGTGAAATTAATTAATAAACGATATTATAGTAATTCAATTAAAAATATTCCACAATTTTATAGTTTGGTTTATAGTTTAGTCTAGAAGAGAAAAGACGAAAGAGAAAACAAAATGGCGTATAGTGAAGGAAAGGATGTGTAAATTTATTCAAAGCATCATCTAAAGATTCTTGGGAAAATTATCTCCTATTAAAAGAAAAGGCTTAGAAGCTGTCACTCTGCTCTAAAGAAAGAAGCAAACAGAAATGACTGTTAAATGAAGCAGAGCCCTATGAATGTATAAAATAAAATGGAAAGATAAGAAAAGAATAAAAACAAATATTCTAAAAATAGTATTATTTCTCTTCTTAAAATCATAATTAATTGTCAGATTTTTCAATCTTTTCAATTGTTTGTAATACTGCAAATCATATGATTAAAAAGGAATTCTGTAAATAAAGAGTGTGGGAAGTTCATTATGAATATAGGAATAATAAATCGAAGAGAAAGAAAGAGGAAAATAATGAGTAATTATACGATATCGAATAAGCGTAGTAAAAGAATGGATTATTTAATATAATTTGTTTCTTTATACTCCTAATATGGAATTAGGGTATAAATCACCTCTTATTAATTAAGTAAATAGTTAGATCTCCTTTAGAGTGTTCTGGTCTTTAGAGAAAGAATATAATTTATTAAAAAAATTGGAGAATAAACCGACACTCTGTATACTTTTATATACTCCGTACATATGAATATTTATATCAATTTATTTCAAGGTTATCTATTTACATACACGTAATCCATATCTTTAACTTTAATTTCATGTAATGAACTTTTTTCCGCTTACGAACACAAAGTTATTTAGATGAATAGACGAGAATGCCATCTAGTGTATATATGTGCGTGTATGATAGAATGCAAACGAGATGGCGCTTTAGGTTATCAATCACTCAATTATGTACATAAAATCTTGACTAGATGGACAAAGAATCTAAGTAAAAGAATAACATGTACATGTACTTAATATAATTAGAAAGAACTTATTTACAAAGATAATCAGCAGATCTCGAAAGTTTGTCTTTAAAACAATTTTAGAAAGCACCACTCTATGAACAAACATTGACGTCTTCGCTCGGCGCCTCGTTCGATGTTCCTTTAGAATTAAAATTTGTTTGAGAAGTTGATTTCTTGCTCCTTTTCCACTTCATCCTCCGATTTTGAAACCAGATTTTCACCTGTCAAAAGAAACGAATAAAAATTAAACGATAAGACTCTTATCAGAGATATGAAACTCGTAAATGCCAATCATTTACTAATATCGAGTAATTAGCTAGATAAATATCACGCCTGGTACCAACGACTATTAATTGATAGTAATAATACGTCTACCGAGTGATTGGAAAGAAATAAGAAATTAGGTCAAGCAATCGGTCTCAAATCGAACGACACTATAGTGTTGATTGATAGCCTCATCTGGATGATTGCAGTGGTACTTTTGCAGCTTTTTACGCTGCCAACGCACGATTTGCGCATTAAATCCCGAAGAGATACTTGTTTTAATGTAATTAGAGTAATTTAGTTAATTTCATCTCTTAAAACTTAACAAATGTCTCGACAGTATCTAAATTTGATTAAAGAGAAAAACTTAAAAAACGTAAATATTCAATATATTAACAAAGTTAAAAAGATACTTTATCGATTTCCTTATAATAAAAGATGGTAGAGTAACGTCAATTGTTTTGTGACAAATCCTAAATAATAATACTAATATATATTGTATTTTATATATCTCTTATCAGTCTATTTGCTTATATTAAAAAAAACCGACAGAAAATTACAAATGAAGCCTTTATTCATAATAATTTATAATATAGTCTTTATAGAGCATATCTATTGTATATATTTAGTATATTACATGTATTTAGCACTGATAGTTTTCTTTCTAGCGTTTTTAATTAATATATTATCGAATTAATAGCTTCAATTATCTTTAATTAATTTTATGATTATCTAAGAGTAGATATTTGTTAATTGATAAAACGTTTAACTTTGAAGGAAGTGGAAAACTCTTTAGTTTTTTACAAGTTAAAACTCGGTCATAAAACAAATAAAGGTGAGCATTTTAAAGTAAATAAGCGTGGTGTAAATATGAAATACGAGTCAATTAAGATAAAAGGTTTCCGTTACATCTATGATAGGACATGATAGCTGGCGTTTATTTTTTGTAAATTTTGTATATATTTTTTATTTATATATAATATAGATATCCTATCAATGTATACTTTTAACTATTATAAAAATATATAATGTAGGTTTAATAATTCCGTATTAATATGACCTATAAACTTATTGAACTACTTTAAGAGAGAAAACGCCTTTCCCTGGATATCCTTCTTCCTACTATTGTAAATTTCTTTTTCTGCTTTTGACAATTATTATTTATTCTATTTTACTTTCACACGGAAAAATTGGACTAGCCACTTAAAACTGTCACGTGATCTATTGCCCAAGCAAGTGGTGTGTACAAGTCTAAGGCTATAAAATAAGAAAAACTCTTTTCGAATAATTTTTTTTACATTTTTATCGTTTTTTTTTCATTATTTAAAATCGGCAATAAAGAAAAGGAAAAGGAGAAACAACTAACCTGAGTTTCGGTCAAACATAGAGACGTCGCAACCTCGAATCGTTTAGGCCTAGATAAATATTTATTCAACTTAAACTGTCTTTCCAATTCCAAAAGTTGTTGGCTGGTAAACGCCGTTCTCGGACGCCTCGTTTTTCCGCCAACTAAAAATTGAGTTGCTCCAGCGTTTGCTATAACAAAAGAAAAATAGCAATTTATAACCTTATATGTTTTCCATGATAAATGATGAAATGTATTTAAGTAAAAAGGATAAAACTACAAAGAAAAGAAATCCAATATATATAAACATATACTGTAATATGGAAAAGCATCAATGACATGTTTATACATATTGGAATGTATATTTACAAAACTAACAAATTTTAACGCAAGATAATTCGTATTCTTCTTATATATGAATAAGAATAGATTGACTTTATTTTAATTGCAAATGGAAAACAATGGGATTGTCTTATCTAAACAAGTTTAAAGAAACCATTTTTTCACATTTCTGTTTATTGATTTAAACTATTAAAGTAACTTGTGTAACTTAATGTTATTGTCTTACTGTGAATTATAAAGTACTTGTTATATTTCCCTTTCTACTGATGTTCAATTTTTTAAGTGTTAGACATATTTAAATACTTGAGCACAAATACAAAAACTTTATTTATATAAAATATAAAAAATTGTAGATTACAGTTCTAAAATCATCCAGGAAATGCATTTAAAGCTCTAATCACCAATACAGACCTCTTTGACTATAATTTATCGTTATAGTTTTCCGGTACTCTACATTATAAAGAGGTCTATAATTTAAAGGCTTATAGGATTTAAAGATATACATTTTGCACAAAGAATAGTTATATATAAGTATATAATATTCATTTTAAACAGCTTTGGAATGGTACATAGAGACGCCGTAACAAGATGGAACGAATTAGAATAACCCAGCGCTACGAAAAAATTCGTTCCCAGATTTTGTGATCATCTAGCGCCTAATCAATCATGACTAACAATCGTCGGAGTCGATTATGGAAGCGTTAATTAGGGCTATGAATTAAACGCTTTAAAAGATCAATTGAGACGCGGGGCGTATTTACTCGCCCTTTTTCAGCCCGAAATTATGCCCCATCTGCCTGGAAACGGTGCAAAACGGTCTAAACGACAATTGAAAAACGAGTGACGCTTGACCTCTTCTTCCGCGTACATAGAGGGGCGGCTATGATCAAAGAAGCGGCGTAGCCGTTTTTTAAAAAGCTCCACTCCGACTTGCGAAACATTTAATGCGTAGGATAAACATAATTTTCAGCGAATTATGTGTGTTTTATTCGATTGATGCGGGCGCAATTTTTTTCAGAACGTGGTTCTAAACGGATTTGGTGGATTTTAGGGGAGTTTATTAAATTCCGATGTTACTTATTGAAACATGTGACTTTTACGTTATTTATCATCACAAAAGAAAGAGTGAAGAGAGCTTAACTATCAATTTCTTACTTTTACTCTTTCACGTATGCCAATATTAGCCTCTTAAAGAAAAAAGCTTACAAAGTATTAAATCTATTAAGTATTAAATATTATTAGACCTTATTCGGAAAGTATATTAACAAAGTTAAAGATTTCTTATAGATAGCCCTTATGCACGGCAAATAGATAAATTAATAATAATTTAATATATGTACATATACAATATATATGTATGTGGGTCACGCATAATTCTAATTTAAAGTGTCTTAATAAAAATATAAAACAACTCCAAAGGATTTAAGAAGTTTACACTTGCCTGTGAAAAAAGGTATGAAAACTTTGATTATGTAAATAAAAGCTAAAAGGTTAGAGATAGAGATTGAATTTACTTTATCTCAAGAAAATCAATTAGTTGACGTCGGTCAAGATTTTTAATTAGTCTATAAATCGGCTATAACGAATTCAACGCACGTGGCGAATTTGTCGTGCCACCAGGGATCGTATCCGTTCTGCATGCTCATTCACAGATTTCTAGACGTCGACGCCCCCGAAAGTTTGATTAAGTGCCCCCTCTCTTTTATGTTCCATCCCCATATATCCCAAGCAGAATCGGACATGATTACTCAACGAAAACGTGCTACATCCGACGGGTCCTTATCTATATAATAAACGATAGAAAGTGTAGATAATAGACGAATTAGACAACGATCTTATCAGTGAATCCGTGTCGGTATGAGGCATCAAATAGCCACAGAGAAAGAGTAAACGGCTTATTATAAACCTCTTTGTTCTCTAATCGACTGATAAGACATGTACTCACAAAATTCCTTCTATTCTGATCACATGACTTTGTCTTATTAATTGAATATTGCATAATATGCTAATTTTGGGAGTTTGCACAGAATGGCGCGATTAAGAAAATATTATCTAGTTTAAACACTTATCGTAGAAAAATACGTTTTAGATATCGGACATGGAAAAAAAGCTGAGGCCTCTTACCCGCAGATCCTGCTCCGTAATCAAGTCCAACTGGTCCTCCGAGATTTTGTGGAAGAAACAAAGCGGCTCTAGTTGCTTGTTGAAGCCAATCAAGTCTATGGGGAGGTCCAGAGACGGGGCTTGGGTACAGAAAATGGGATTGAAATGCTGGAAGGAAAAATGCACCAGGATTGCATTTTTGTTGAATTTCATCCAAAGGAGATGAGTTTCTTGAGTTAGGAGAGCTTGGAGGAGAATTTTCTGTGACTTTTCCTTTTGATAAAAGAGCGTCGATGCTAAAATTCTTTTTCGCTTGCGAAGCCATTGCTGAAGTTCCAAATAAGCTGATAATGCTTAGAAAATCTGCCATTTACGAATGAAAAACGGTGACGACCGCTGATTGGTTGGATTTCGGCCAATCACGATCTGACTGAATAATTATCAAGCATTAACACTCTTGCGCCTAAGCGCCTAAGTGCTCATTGTTCGCCAAATTATCTCAAAGCACGTCTTCGCTTATTGATCCAATCGACGTCTTATTTCCTTTTCCGGTTCGCTGGTATTCACAGCGTCACTTGGCGCCGTCTAATGCTTGATTAGGCTGCTGTGTTAGTCTCGTTTTGCGTCTATTTCCTGTAACGATATTCGTTGTAGTTTTTTTGCGACCAAAAATATTCATAGTTATTTTCCGGCTGTCGGGGACTATTGGAAAATATTAAAGGACTTTATTAGATTTATTTCTATTTATTAAAACATTAAAAAATCTTCTAGTATTTCCAATAATTTATTCCACGATCATTGTCCTAATCTAATCATGTTTATAAATTTTTACAAGCATTTAATGAAATTTGAGCCTAGAAATTATGTAAATTATATTCAAATTTACGAATTAGCACATTAAGAACTTGTACAAGCAGTTTGTACATGCAAATAAATGAATGTGTTTGAACAGACCGCAACCGCAGAGCGGGCAATAGCAAATAGTAGAGAGTACTATATATACATAAAATATATTGCCAAATAGGTTTTCCAAAAGATAAATTTTATCCCTATATATCTTTAAAGACATAAAAGTTATTACTAAAATTAAAAAGTATATATATATATCTATGAATATATCAAGTAATTATTGGAGTCTATTTAAGATGAAACAGACACGGAAATATATTCTATAGATTGATACTTTCTTACAAATGCGCTACGAATTAGGGCAATAAATCTACCAATAAGGGAATACTAGGCCTCTCTTACAAATTTATCTAACTGGTATGAAAATTATTACAGAAACTGGTTTATTATTATAACTTAAATAGGATATTTGTCCCTTTTAGAATTAATTTAAATTCTTTTTATATAAATATACTGTAATTATTATATAACTGCGTTTTAATTAATTAATTAATTAATTTAGAAATATTGTTGAATTATTACTATTTAAAAGCCATATAGTTATCAACTTATATGTATATAAAATCTGAATTGTTGTTATTTAGGAAAAATATTGCGTAACAAAGGTTATTGTATCAGTTTGACATTAAATAGAAAGAATTAACTAGTATTGAAAAAAATATTTTATTTGAAAAAATTACAAACAAAGGTTCGTATCATCGACCTTTTTCTCTTTTTATGTACAGCTTATACAAATAGAGGCATCTTAATTGTTTTCGCTTATATTGTCTTTGTTATTGAATTACGGTTGCTTTGCCATTGATTAGGATCGTTTATTGCTTGTGCAATCCTTATTTCATTAGAATAATTTGATAAGATCGGAAGGAGAATGCGGGTGGTATATACTGTATATAAGTATATCACTTCTCATCGATAAGAAAAATCGGCAGATAACGAATGGCTATAGATTGAAAGTAATTTATTTGTTTGTGATCGGATTACTTAAAGGCGAGCGAAAATTCGAACTTCCGGCTACATTTTCATCATAAAATCGCAATTAAACACGTGCAAAACGTAATAAAATTTATAGCTTATATTATTCGCAATTGCAGGGTCGTAAAGAAATTGACAAATATAAGCAAAATAGCGAAATATCACGCTCGCCGCTTAATTTGATAATGCGCAGATAAACCACGAACTCAGTGTTTACATTAAACGAAATTTATTCGGCTTTTTTCCACATCAATTCGTTCGATTATCGTCGAGTGTAATTCCATATATTTATCACTCGACGCTTATAGACGAAATCTATAAGAATTCATCATCTTTACCCCCGTAAAAAATCTCTTTTATTATATAATATATTTGCTTCTCTTCATTGAATATTATTGCTCCTTCTCTATTCTTGATTTTCTCCTATTTCTCCTATTTTCTTTTGTTTGTTTCTATCATAGACTTTATTACTATTAAATATATCTCTTAAGCTTAATATATTTTCTTTATTTACTCCTGGTGCCATCTACGGTTTAAAATTTCATTATATATTTTTTATATTATTAATTTATTATTTTATTATCAGATTTAGTTTCTTTTTTACTTTTCTTTTATTACTTAAATGTTTCGTTACCTAGCAACGCTATCTATATAAGAAGCGGTATGAATAAAAAAAAATCTGTACTTTTCATAAACAAATAAAAAAAGTTACAAAATGAAATAAAATTGTATTCTTTTTAAGATTTTGCTCTTTCTGATTAATTTTAATATTTAATTATTCATTAAAATGATAAGAATTAACATATTTTATTTGTAAAGAGGAATAATCATAGATTGACAAGAGTATATATAAAACACTCACAATAAAATTGCCGTAAATTAAGGCGAATGTCTCAGACTATACATCGTAAATTATTATTATTCGAAATTATTTACTCGCGCAATAAATTCGCCTAATCAAAGGCAATTTCCGTAAAAATGTACTTGCTAATAAAGCCGTCGAATGATTGGCGGCTAGTGAGTTGTTTGTAAAAGCGCTTGATTAGTTGAGTAAACAGTGGCGCCATCTGAGATGCAGTTTCTAATCTCGTTTGTCATTGCTTATTATCAATAATGATATTTGGTACTCCGGGAGTCATTGTTCAATTGATTGTCAGTGACTTTTCGTTCTTGAATTATATAACTTTATACCATAGTTGAATTACGTAGAAAAGTTAAGTTAATTAATAATTAATTAATTGATTTTCAAGACGAAGGATTAATAATAAAAATGAAACTAAATAGGATTGAACAACTATAAATATATATATCTATATACATATATATACTGTGTATCTTGAGGCATTCAACAAAATTGATTTGAAATGACCGTGAGCAAGGGGAAATTTTGCGCCATAAGGATCACTCTGATTCACTGAAAAGGATAATTTATTCATCGGTTTCTGTTTTGTCTCCCTCCCCCTCCTTTTTTTTTTTACTTGCCACTTGATGAAAACAAACGCAGATTTTTCTAATTTATATCCTACTAGACCCATTAAAAGTAAATATTTCTTCCAGTTTCATGAATTTTTCTCATACGTTATTAATTTCTTTTTCCAGTTCAAAAAGGTTACGAATTGGGATTTAGAGTCTTTTTTTAGTAGTTATTCTTGTCCTAGTTTTTCTTTTTCAATGGATTTGCTAGATAGCCGTTCTGTAAGAAAATTAATTTGCTCCCTTAACTTACCAAACTATTTACTGATATCTCTAACCTTACGCGAGTAGAATGTAAACGAAATACAAAATACGTAGGGCGCTCAAAACCCGCCCCCTTATCTCCATAGTCTCCACCCAAATTGAAAGAAACCTTTTTCAAAAGAATTTCTATTTAATCAGTTAATTTTAGCATTTTTCACAATAAATTCAAATCTTTTAAGAGTTTCCTGCTGTTAAAGCTACGTAACTTGCTGTTATTATTCCTGTCCTTCTTAAAGATGGCACACTTTTACAATAAGTAAAAGTGACATCTATCGGCTAATTAATATGTGGAAAAAAATTAACATCAAAGTAGAAAATTCAGTAAAGTCTCTTTTACTTAAGATGGACAAAAACTAGACAAAAAAAACATTAAAAAGAATACATTATTAGAGGAGGATAACTAAAAAATAGACAGCCGTATTTCCTTCCCTAAACCGGAAGCTGGTTGAAGAATAAAGAAATTTTCTAATCGATTAGCTTACTTATGATGATTGTCGATATCATTAGTTTGTTCAGCTGTTTTAGGATAAAGAGATATCTGTAAAAATATTATATCTTCCTCCATGACAAAGTTATAAGGAACCGACAGAGGCGTTATCAGTATGATTGTTTTATTACAAGATAACTTAAAACCTGAATTTAAATTTTGTATGCATTGTCCTTTGATACAGGTGCTAGAATCTTTTTATCTATAAACATTCTATAAAGATATTGTCTCCATCTGAAGTATATATATACACAGATCTAAAATACATAGACATATATGTATTTATATATATAAAAATAGATAATTATTGATCGATCAAGAAAAAAAGAGGAAAAAGTAACCAAGTTATTAAGTGAATGACCGATAAAAATCAACAAAAAAAGAGAGAGAAATTCATAAATTAGAATAGATTTTCTTTCTAAAAGGAAAATATCTCTTTTTACTTGTTATAAACATAGAATAAAATAGCATAATATATTTAATAGTAAGACAAAAAAAACTTGCTAATTCTTAACGACAGGAAAATCGAACTAATTCGATTTTTTACGTATGTCCGATAGAGTGGTTCTTTAGTTGTTTACCGAATTTTTCCATTTGAATTTTGTGTAAAAAGGATAGATTTTTTTTTTACTGTTAGCCATTAAATATATAAATCCGTTTATTTTAAGCCTATATAAAACTGTTAATAGGAAAAGGTTTTCTAAATTTAAAAGATTTTTACAAATTTCAAATACTGTTTAGTTTAAATGATTCATTTCCTTTTCTCGTTTTATCATACCTTTCAAAAGAAATAACTGTATAGAGTAAGGTGTATCATGGACTATTTTCAACTTACTTCATTCGCCGATTCTTCTCTGCCCATAGCACTTTGATTAGTTTGCAATATTATACAAGATAAAAGTTTATTTGGTTAATTGATGTTATCTCACTGTAATAAGCTTTTATAATTATTAATTAATTATTATTGAATAAACAGTCTGTAACGTAATTCTAATTCTAAAATAAAAGATTTCTTTTTCTTGTTACTTGTTTTTGTCATATTTGAGGAAAAAGTATTTATTAAAATAGCTATTAAAAGCATTTTCCGCTTTGATATGCAGCCATGTAAGCTTTTATTACTACAAATTGTAATTAATCATAATTTTATAATAGAACCTTTCTTGATGTATAGATTCAACCTACTTTTCCTTCTTAATCATTTGACACAACTACAGCTTTATTAGAAGGCTTTTGAGTAGGGAAAGAAGGTAAAAGAGGGTAAAAAAGAGAAATAACTTTTTTTATAACCAAATACATAAAAGGAGAGAAAGTGATTTAGGGAATTTTACGAGAAAGCGACCAAAAACATACGACACGTATAAAAATAGAACTGCACATGGCAAGTGCTGGTTTTTTCTAATAGAGGCTGGGGAGCGGAACAATTAAAAAGATGCTTAAGATTAAGAGGACACATAGAATGAAATCAACCTACACCTCCTACTCCTCCTCTTCATCTTGGAAATGCTATAAATACAGTACAGGCCGGACATCTTCGCAATGGGAACGCTCTATTTTGTAATTTTTTTTTTATAATTCTAGTTTCAAGGTTATTTGTGTTATGAAATATGATTTACTCTATTTCTTTAGGGAACGACGTCACCGATGCGATAAATCCCATCAACCGTAGCTCATAGCTCCGACAAGCCTTGAGAAGAACATAATAAACAAATGACCTATGGTTGATAAAGCCATCGTGAGAAACTAAAACTTCTCATTTACCTTTACTTTTTCCTGTTCCTTTTGATGATAAAATCATATATATATATATATATATATGTATATGTTCTCAATTTGTCCTTTCTATATTCCTGAATTATTTAAGTAACATTGAAAAACTACAACCTAACGCCTAACCTGACTATTTCAATACGGTCGAAAATTACTTTCGGGTCCTCTTCATGCTCTTTTCATTTTGTACAAAAGTAATTTGATTCTTGGTCATACTTTTTCTTTCCTTTGTTCATTCCTTCTACTTTTTTCTCTCTTCCTTTTTCCTTTCAAAATTGCAGTTTTCGTGACCCAGCTTTATTTTATTACAACGAAGCTTTCTAAATGTAATCTATTAGGAAGTTTTTTCTCTCTTTTTTCTTTTCTTTAAAACTCAGACAATCATAATTAATTTATTAATTATATTAAATATAATTAATGTAATCTTATTAATCAATTCTATCTAGACTGATCGATTTATACCCAAGCCATTAAATTTTGATCTAATATCAAATAGAAATTATTGAAAAATTCCTTCCTTTTATCTTTTAAAGCGACATAATTCTCAAATTAGCTTTAAAAAGATTTTTCTTTTAAATGTACATAAAAAAGGGAACATTGATGTTATACGTAAATGTCACATACCATATTTAAATCAAGGATATATTGGATAATGGCAAACAGAGAGAAAGAATGAGAAAGGGAGCGCGAGAGAGAGAGGGAGAGAGATAGACAGAGAGAGAGAGAGAGAGAGAGTGAGAGTGGGAGAGTGGGAGAGTGAGTGAGTGAGTGAGTAAAAGAGAGGAAAAATATTCCTACATCCTATATCAATGCTTAATTAACAAATAAAACTTTTTAAAGAAATAAATCTCTATTTCACTGACTCTCAATAGAAAGGAAACCAATCAGAATACAACAACAGTTTTATACGACTTTCTCTTTGATCAATAAATCTGGTCAATTCTTATATAACAACCTCAGCAAAATATCTAAAAAGAAAAAAAAAAAGCTGAATTTTTAATTTGGACCTAAAGAAAAAAAATATAAAATGAATAGCATAATTTATTTTCTTATCATTTATGAAAAAAGTAATTAACAAGTTAATTTGAAAAATGAAATTTCTACTGAATTAGGGTGGAACGTAAAGTATAAAAGCATAAAAAGAGATAAGTTCTATTTTAACCTCTAACCGTTAGAATACAGTTTTTGACTTCATATAAAATTTTATACAATTATAAAACATTCTGTAGCAATATATGAATGATTATCTATGAATATGTCCATATATATTCTATTCTGTATTGCATTCTTTTAGTTGTTTCTTCCTTCGAAAGGAATTCGCAACCAATTGTTAAACGTTGCATTTTAGCATACTGTATAAAAAACGAATATGCAATATCATCTATTCCTGAGCTCTATTAATAGAATAGATCTTGAAGTTTTGCTATATCATGAAGGAAAAAAAAAGCATGGATCATATAGCTCTTTTATCGTATACACTATTTTCTTTGATTTTGTTGTCAACAACAAATATTCAAAATAAGAGTAAATTTCTATATTTATACAAATAGCATAACTATAGATATCAATTTCCTAAGTTTATATAATATTTAATATGTTAAACGAAAAGATCAAGTTAAATTTTTAAATACACCAATAATATTTATTAAATATTTACATTATCCTTATATTTAAAGGATAATAAATATTTTACATTCCGTGAAAAAGTTTTGTAACACGTTCGTACTCTTTTACCATTATCGTTTCAAATTTCTGTTATTAGTAATTTTATTAGAAAAGATACGAATTGTGAGACAGAGTACGTGATAGTTTAGTCCTTTAAAAAATGATTTTGTGTTTTTTGATTTATTCGTTAATACGCATTATTCGTGAATCTTTTTTTCTATTCTTTTATTAAAATTTGCTTGAATAAAAGGTTTATGAAAAAATTAAAGTCTTTTTCGGACATCGGATAGCTTCAGTTGATCTAGAAACATACATTTATAGTGTATATATTATACATATATCTATATATATATATATAAAGTATTTTTAGTGTGGCCATTAAATTTAAGAAAAAAATTCACTCTTTCTTCGTAAAATAATTTTAATATCTTTAGAATTGAAAAGTAAGAAGTTAATAGTTTTATCATCCGAATAAATTTGCCCTCGAGCTGTAATCACGTGACCGTGTAGGCGACATACTGTTCTGCCTTTCTGCCGTCATTTCAGACGCGAGTAGACGTCGTGCTAAAGAAAACTTATATTTCTTTTTCCATCTCCTACATACCTACATATTTTAAGGTAAGTGCAAAAATCTAGATTTTATATTAAATTTGATTTGCTTTCGTTAAATTAAATTAATTACTGTATTTATCACACTCAAATTGCGGTTGATAAATTTTTTCAATCTAAAAGACGTCTTCCCGATATTTTTAACATTTTCCTTCTTAAATTGATAAATAAATGGAGAAATGAGAGGAAAAAAAAACAACTTTGAAAGAGACGCTTTCGTATAGATTCAGCTGCTTCTTATCAGTCGAAAAGAGACGATTAATCGCTCTCCAATAAACAAAACCGTTAATACAGCCGACTCATTATCGTATCTAAACTTTGTAATTTATTAAGCTCAACGGAAGAGAGATAAAGAGAAGGAAAACTTTAGAAACATCGAGAAAATAAAGAATTCATATATATATATTTATTTATATATATATAGTATACAGTATATATATAATTTTTTTTATACGTTTCCTGATCTTTATTTCAGAGGATGAACACCCTCAAAGCTGTTTTAATCGCCTGCTTGTTCTTGGCAGCTTTAACCGCTCCCATTTCCGGTTTGTATATTTTGGTCATGGTTAAAACTAATTGGGGGAATTAGAAAGTTTCTAATCGCCTTATTTTTCACTAGTATTTTTTCTAATAATTTGGCAGCATTTCAAACGAAATCTGAAACTAGAAGGCAGCCATCCAATTTAGTAGAGTTTTATTGCAAAAAAAGAAAATTAGAAACAACACATTTTATTTTCCCTTTCTTCTTCATGGCGTCATAATTTTCTTTTTTAGATCTTAAAAAATTTCGAGTTTTTATTCTAGGTGCTTAAGGTATGGAATGTTAAGTTTGTCAGAAAATTGTGCAATTTAGAATACGATAAGATATAATTTAAGAAATTATAAGAATTTTCTAATATTTTTTTGTCAGGGGAGTGTGTGAGAAATATATATATAAACAGAAAGAGAGAACGAGAGAGAGAGAGACAAAGACATACAAACAAACCGACAAAGAAAGACAGAGGGAGAAAGTGAGTGAAGGAGATATTGATAGAAAATGATAGAAGAGAATAAAAGATATACAGTATATATATATAATATATATATATATATATATATATATATTATACTATTCAAAAGAGAAATCATCCAGTTGATCTTATTTTAAGATTGTAGAATGCATATAAATCATTATAGAGAGATACAGGAACAATAATGTTTACATAAATATACGCAGTTTGATGTCTTTGTCGAAAAGAAAGCGTCACTATTATGTTTAATATAAAGTGGTAAGATTGATTTTTGTTGAAAAGGGTTCGGCTTCTAATTTTTTGCGCAATGCTCTCTCTCTCTCTCTCTCTCTCTCTCTCTATATATATATATATATATATATATATATATTTACTTAGATATTGTCAATTGATAAAGGCAGTAAAATAGAAATAATTTATCGATAAGCTTGCATATGTGCATAAAGTATTAATTCATTTGAAAAGTAAACTTTATTCGATTTATTTGTCCAAGATGGAATAAGATATTATCTTCTTAAGAAATATAGGGTAAATAGCTTTATGCAGTAGAATACATACATTATATAAGAGATGAACAGGGTCAATGAAATAAACCGTTTTCTGGAGCTAAAAGCACTTTTTCTTCAAGTTTTTATCATTAATGTTTCTTGAGTTAATTGTTAAAAAATACTTTGTATAAGACGATAATAGAAGCTTTAAATAGTGCGAAAGATTTCATCTTTTGCACTTTTTTCCCCATCTTCTCCCTCTTTTGTTACCTCTCCAGTTTTCATTCATAAATGAAACTAGAGATAAAGTGTACATTTCCTGCCTTAAATTATCTAGATTTCTGCATAATTTTTAACAGAATTATTATCCATAAATTTATACGTAATAGGACAATTTGGAGCGTTTCTTCTCAATTGGAAAACTGAATTATATAAATAGATAATATGCAAATTGTTTCAATACCTTCTTTAATGGAGTTAGATTTTCGAAATATATTTTCAGTATGTGCTGTACGTAGGAGAAAAAATGAGTAATGACTGGTCAACGAACAAGATGTTCTCTTTTCTTTAAAATGTCGCATTTAATGAAATGTTTTTCAACCTTTAAACTTTGTGACTTGCCTATTAAGAGTTTGAAAGAATGACTATCATTTAATGATCCTTAGAGATTGACTATTATATTTAATAATCTAATACGTCATAGGCAATGTAATACGACTGTGGCAAAGAAATTATGTGATACAATATACTGGCCCCCAAGAGAAAATGAATATAATTTCTAATGAAAAAAGTTATTAAGACATATGCCAGAGCTCTGTCAAAGACTTTTGGCTTCGTTGTTTTCAGTTTAAAAAAAGAAAAAAAAACATAGATATTCTGATTTAAAAAGTTAAATTATTTAATTAAAGAAAAGTCTACGGAGGTCATTTTGCGTAGATTAAGCTTACTTGGAAAAACGTGTAAATAAAGGCTAAATAGATTGATTACATTTTAATTATTAATAATTTTGAACTTTAATTAATTTGTCTAATTAATTATTTGACTTTCAATAGGTACAGAAGAAAAACAATTGCCGGGATATTTTGATCGATTACGTAGAGGAATTATGCGCTATGGAAAAAGGGACAGCAGTCTTGACGAAGAAATTTTCAAAAGAATATTCAGATATGGAAAAAGAGCCGATGATGGATTTGAAAGACAGGACCGAAATGCCCATATACCGTTTAGATTTGGGGAAAAAGAAGAATAATTTCTCATAAAATTTATTTTTCTGTCCCTATCTTTACACTTTATTTTGTCGAATTTTGTCGTAGCGCGTTAAGGGCTATCTCCTGCAATGTGTAACTGAGTAAATCCGTACAAACAATATTTAATAAATAATTCATTTAGAGTAAACAAATTTCTAATAATTTTTATTTATCAATATTTACCTATTTGAATTTTTTTCTTTATTTGTTCTCTTTCTCTTTCTCTCTTTCTGTGTGTGTCTCTCTCTCTCTCTCTCTCTCTCTCTGAGTATCTCTTTTTAAACTAATTAAGTTAGTTCTCTAACAAAAGTGCAAAAAATTTGCATACTAATGAATTTTAGTATAAATTTACAATACTTTAATTTCTTTTAGTCATTAAAAGTGCAAGACGAATGGTTTTTAATTTGAAAGTCATATTTTTATAATATTGATTCAATATAAAAACTAACTAAAAATCAATTAAAACTTTTCTTTTCAACTTTCCCAAAACCCTCTGTTTTTTTGGAGTTTACTGAGTGAGATATTACACAAATACTGCTCAAAGTAGTTCGAGTAATATTAACTAAGGCAAGGGATATATTCAATTGAATCAAACTATCCCTTATTTATATTTTCTTTTTTGGTAAGCAGATTGATAGACAGACCAAAGAAGAGAAAATGAAAGAGAGAAAAACTGGAGCGAGAGAGAGAGAGAAAGAAAGAGAGAAAAAGCGAAAGAGAAAAGCTAAAAAGAATTTTTTTGTAAGAAAGAAACGAATTTTACTTTCAATGGGCAAAAATAGAAGAGAATTCCGTGCATGGAAGCTAATTTTGAAGAATAAATATGATGGCTTTAATTAAATAAAATAAATAAAGCAAGCTAAATAAGACTGTATGTAATATTTAATTGATATTAGTCAGCATTACCTCTCACGAAAATGAACTTTACACAGACAAAATAAAGTATTAGGTGCATTCGTTAAGTGTAGAAAAGACTTAATCGTTGTTTTTTCACGTTGATTTCTATTTCAATAAGAAACTTTTCCCTAAGAACTATAAAAATATGAATGCAAAATTTCCCACTTTCTTATTATTAACCATTGAATTCTTTTATCCCTTTTCATTAATTAGGTTCTTTAATATTTAAATTTCGAATACCTTTGATTCTCTTCTTAATTTAAGAAATAGATTTGATTTGATTTCTGGTATTACTGAAAAGTAAATTAGCAATGGTTTCTCATGTCAAATATATAAAAGATCAAGTTTCTGTACAATGTATTTTTTCCTTTACATATTGATTGCATAACTTTATGAAGAAAAGAATAATATTACATTTTCTCTGATTTGCAATAGTAAATTCTATATTCTATTGGTAGAAACAATTTGAAATAGCTATTCTTTCCAGGTAATTGATATTCTATTTTTTGAGAACAATATTTCTAATTTAATTCTTTACTTTGACATTTTTATAGCTAAAGAAAATAATAAAGAAACACTTGTTTTATTTTTAATTTTCTAATCGTGAAAGGAAAGATACAGAAGAATATTTGTTGTGTTTTGCCACAGAGTACTTGTTATACTATAATCATAACTCTCACACACTCTATATTTATAAATAAATAGATATAGTTTTATAATATTATTAACTGCAGTATGATTGTTGTTTACTTATTAAATTCAATTTTCCGTTTTTAACTTGTCTCACTTTGACTTATTTTGCGGAGACGAAAATATTGTAAAAGTAGTTTTTCTAGTTATTAAGGTATATTTAATAGTGAAAATAATATACTATGTCTATTAATTCATATATATATATATATATATATATATATATATATATATATATGCGTGCGTTTGTACATCAGTATGTATACGCCTATATATAAGCATGTATTGTTTTGTATTCATAATAAAAATCTTTCGTCTGGTATTTTATAAATGGAAGCAAGTACAAAAGAGAGATTGGAAACTTTGAAAAAAAACAGCTGTAGACAACTTAAATTAAGACCACAATGTAAATCGATTTGATGCTAATTCGTTAGTTTAGATGCAAAAGCAACTGTATTGTTTTATAAATACACAACCTGAAAACGATTCATTTAAGTTTTTGGGACTGAAAGTATTAAGTTTGTCATAAACCTCACTTTTCTTAGAATTAATTAACTTGTTCTATTCATTTCTTCTTGCTTTGCATTCTCTTTAACCTTGTAGACTGTCAGATTCCATTTTTATAGTCATTTTTTCTGTCTTTTTTTATCTTTGATGCTCAATGTAATGTTATCGTACATTTCACTTATAAAGTATTTATCAAAAATAACATTAAATACGAATATAAACAAAAATAAAAGACAGAATTGAAAGCTAAATAGATTAAAGAAAAATATGACTCATCTGGTGTCACTGACGCAAGCAATTAGAGGGAACCACTCGAAAAATTGTTGAGAAGAGCAAAAAAGTTGTTGAGGGAAGTTTATTTCAGCTTACAAATAATCATTTTTTAACAATATTTCAAATAAATTAATAATTATCCTCCTTTCATTTTCAAAGTATATTTATATGAACAAAGATTTAGAGTGAGATGTTAAAAACTGGCAAAATTACATTGAAGATTGAAATATAAAATGGAAATAAGAAGAAAGTATATTAGAGAGAGGTATTTATTTTTAATTCTTCGAATATTCTATAAAAGTATTAATAGCTAAATATGTCTATTTTAGTACTACATATATATATATATATATTAGTATCCCTGTGGTGTTGAGCAAATCAAAGATTTTTCTATCATTCAAATTCATTTTGAAGAGAGAAAAATGCTGATAGCCTACAAGGAAGATTGCTATATATATATATATATATATAAATATATATCTACTTAATACATACATTATCTATAGAATGTTTTAAGAGGTTTTGATTACGAAAGGAAAACTATATCTAAAAGAGAAAAAAAAATAGAATGATGACTTTTTCTCTTCTTTTCCACAATCTCTAATTAAATGTGAAAGTTGTCCTAAACTAACAATATTCGCATAAGAATACTTGAAATTGATTGCCGTCATAGTTTATCAATTTTTGTTTAATATAGATAAATTGGTGTTTTCAATAGGAACATGAAATATTCGTTTAAGCAAATTGACGAACTACTATCCTGAAAAGACCATTTCGTTGAAAAGAATCCATAGAGGTTATTAAAGAAGTATTAATTATCAAACTACATAGCCTAAAGCTAGTTTCATTCATCGCTCTAAGTTTTTAAGAGAATATGCCCTAGTTTTTCAATTAAGTTGTTGTTACAAAAGGCTTTTCATTTTTACGGTCTGATTCATAGGAGTTCTCGTTTAGAGTATTTTAAGAGGAATCATACGACTATATCCTATACTCTCTCTGTCTCTCTCTCACTCTCTCTTAAGGAAAGAAGCTAGAAAATCTTATTTTTCTCCATTATGTCATTCCAAGTTCTTCATTTGTTATATTTATAGAAGATTCTTAGTTTATACCTTCTATATACAGCAAAGAAGACGCTCTTCAGATTTTAGGTTCGACTGAATTAGACATTAAGTACCCTCATATCTTTAACGTTTTTATAAACGCAAATAATTGTTGTTTTATCATTCGGCCTGAAGATGGCGTTAGAATATCAATCACGATTCACTACGAAAATAACTAACAGATGTCGCATTTTTAAAAGATCATGTTTATATTTTCTCTTTCAGTTATCTTTTTTTGCTGAATATGCAAATAATAAATATAAACAAATTAGCAAAAGCAAAATGGAGAATTAAAAGTATCATGAGTATTGAAAGATCAATAGTTGTTTCCTTCTCTAGATCAAGCCGGATAGTTTTCTCACCAATTATGCAATAATAGGAGAGAAACTTTACGTATGAATATAAAATTTGTATTGATTTATAAAAAGAAAAGTAAAAAATATGTTTTTCATATAAAATTATATATATGTATACTAATATATATTAGTAATATATATATACTGTATATATATATATATATAACTGTATATGCATGAGTTTTGAAATCTTTTCCCCGAAGAATAGAAGAGTATCTTATCATTTTCAAAATAGAAAAACATCAAAAATGCTTTCTTTTATACATTTTTCAATATTTTTTCGTAATATTTTATAAAAGTGGTTAAAAGAGAATTCCATATATTCTTGTTGTATAATCAAGTAACTATTAATAAAGAGGTAAAAGCAATTTCATGAAGTTTGTTAAATACGAAAATATAAACCTTACCATCTCTATTATTGTATAAGAAACCAACTGCTTGCTTATCTTATTAAAGACCTTCTAAAATGATTATTTTCTTGCACTTCAACCCTATAAGGGCTTCCTATAACATAAATGAAGTGTTTAAACTTGAGATGAATACATGATTTAGAATTTATTAGATAAGATGAAAGATTTTCCTTACCATTTATTTCAACATGTTCGTATTTGATTATAAAATCAACTATTCCAATATCTGTAGGTCTGTATGTTACAGTATATTTATGCTCTCCAGTTTGTTTGTAACCTTTAACAGGACATGCAGAATCTATTTCAATGGTTCCATTATCGTAAACTTCGCTGGCGTCAACTGGAGAATATAATACATATTTTGATAATAAATAAGATATTTATATAGTTCAAAAAGCGTTTACTTTCAAATACATAATCTCGATCTTTTTGAACTATTTGTTCCAGATTTTTAACAAAAATCTTCGGTTTACGAGCAATTGTATAGAATGGACTTCCTATAACAGCATTAGTGTCATAGAAAATTTCAACAGTATGATTTCCCTCTTCCTTCGGAACAAAGGATACATTGAAACGATCAGGAGCTACTTTTTGTATAGTTGGTTTTATATTTCTACCAGTAGGTGCTGTCAAAGGAAAAAAGATATAAACAATTAAATTGTAGAATTACGAAAATAAGTAATTCATGAAGTTTTCTTTCCTTTATTTTTCTTTCAATAAATGTAAACCTATATTTCCCATGTGAATAAATCTTGCCTGTGCTCTTAAGAAGTGTTAAAGAAAACTTTTAAATACGAATTGAATTAAGATTGAAAAAATGAATAAACTCAATTTGATATAATTCTTTTATGAAGTTAATTTCCCTTTATTTTATAAATGACATAAGTTTTCACATAGCTCTAAGTGTTTTTTCACAGCTTGCATGATTGGTCTTTCTAAGTTTATTTAAATGAAGAAAATCTCCTGACAAAGCGAATTTAAAGAAACAGCTGAAATATCTTTTTTTTTTTTTGGATGTAGTACCGTAATGACATCTTTGATGGTGAAAATTAACACACTTTCTATTTATATCGTAAATATTCAGGCAAATAGTTTACATAAATAATAGATTTATCCGATTAGGCTTTAACGTGCTCAGTTGTTTATAGTAAGCTTATTAAACAGCTTAGAAAGAGTCTCATAGCTCATACTTACACATGATGATTACTTCTGATTTTTTATCTGGTGCCGAAGTAGCCAAGATAGAAAAGAAAGCTTCTTTGCCACATATACATTCCTTCAAGCCTAACCCATCAGCACTAACTTTTCTTGCATCAGTTGCATCAACCATAAATGGAGATCCTTTAGGAAAATTTGATTAAAATATTCTCTTTAGTTGTTTTATTTAGGGTTTCTAACCTGGTGATTCAATTCCACCAACAAAAACTGAAACGTTGAATATCCCATGAATTCTTGGATAGAAAGTTATTTTATATCTGTCATTTCCGCATAAATTTATTTCTGTAGGTACTTGATTTTCATTCTGGGTGACAAAAACGTCAAGCTCTTTGCACCCAACTTGCAGGCAATCAACTAAAAATTGTAATTTTTTTATTAAAAAATTTGACCAACAGCGTCTAAAATATTCTCTACCTTCAAAACTGTAATCTTTTAGAATAGCCGCTTTTCCAATCTGTGTCTTAATGATTCTTGCTAATGAAGGATCATAGACATTAACGTAGTAAGGACTCTCGCTAATTTCTTGATTTTCGTAGAATATTTGTATTTTCCAATTTCCTGTAAAATTTTTACTCTTTTCATAGTCTACTATGTTTGTTGTTTTAATATTTTTACCTTTTTCAGTTGGTCTGAAACTTATAAAATTTAAGAAATCTTCAGTTCGAGTTATACGAAGGTCTTCCAAGTCACTGCCAGGCGAATGGGCCTCCGCTCTAACAGCTCCGTTTCCAAATGCCGATGTGTCGACCTGAGATATTCGTGTATTACTTTTCATACATTTATTAATCACATACTAACCATTATATTTAAGGTAGCATCAACTCTCCAAGTATCTAGCATGTAGACAACTACTTCTTCTCTCTTAAATGACACCGATTTTGAGGCAACCGGAATTGTAGGGGCTGTAGAAGTATTGGAAGAAATCGATGATAACAAAGTAGACGACATCACCGATGAATTTACGGATTTACGCTCTATTTGAGTTTTCCTAACCAACTGCCGTAAATAATAGAAATTGCGTAATAAAACAATATAGAAATACAGATCTAACCGAATCTCTATTTTCTGAGATAGTTCGAGCAGGTACAATTGCAGGAGTTATAATCGGGGCTGGAGCTGAAATTGGCTCTGGAGGAGGTGGAGAGGGGCTCCTTGCCCTGGGGGGAGAAGGTTGAATTACCTCGGGTACCTCGGCAAATTTCAATTTTTTTTTCCTTTCTGGTACTATTCTATGCCAAGCAGCATATGCCATGATACCAATATGATCAACTGTCGGTATGGTCATATCAGTTGCAGATATCACGTGCCTCACTCCAAGTTGATTTTCGCTAGCCTTCATTGCTGAATACAAAAACAACATCAGTAATTCTAAATAAATAGAGAGTAAAGATTTTGACTTTTCTATAAATAAAGTAATCTATATTAAAATAGCTTGTACGCGACATCATAAATATAATGTTTCCTCTCAGATTACATTCCACTTTAGCTTTAAACGTTCCATTTAATGATTGCAAAATTTATTCAAGCTTTAATTAAAGAATTCAAAGAGGGTTGAGTGATAAAAACTCAAGAACAGCGACTATACTACACACTTTTGAATTTTCAATCTTTCTAGTATACTTATGCTGATAACTAAAGTATTCTACAAATTGTTGATTAAATTTTTTTTACCAGCTTTACAAAGTTCTTCAGAACTTCCATCAACACGTGGAACGTCTGCTCCAAGTTCAATAGCTAGTTCACTGGCTATTCTTCCACTATTCCAATCGGTCTACAGACGAAGTTTATAATTTTTAAATAACTCTTTGTATTTTTTTGTTAAACTCACCGTGAAATTGCTAATAGTTGAAACGCAAAGCTTTGAGTTAACCCATTCCATTGTTTTTATATAACCTGGACTACCTTCCGTAACATAATATGATAGCTGAGTCATAACTGATAATTCATCGATATTGGGATTAGCCATATGTTCTGGTTTAATTACAATTGGAATATCAAAAGCTCTATGTCCCATTTGTAATGCACTTTTGCAGTTCTCTTCCCTTTAGAAGTTAAATGAAAATTTATTATTAATTATTCAATACGGAAGATTTGAAATAAATAATTAATATTTAAAATAATCTTAATAAAGACAATTACAATTTCCTAATTAACTTACGCTCTTGAGACTTTTAAATTCATCCAATCCGGAAATGTTCCCGGTTTACAATATTCAATAACACCACTGAAATAATAAGAATAGATAGAAATAAGTTAATTTTTTAAATGTACTGTTTCCTTAGAAACAAAAAAAGCATTAAGTTAGTAATTATGATATTTACTGTAAAGCTATTCCATCGTTCCAGTCTGATGTAAAATTATTTATCTCTTTGTAAGGATATAAAATTGCGTTAAAAAATTTTATCATTAGTTTTTTGGCTGGTAATTTTCCTCCCGATTTCAATTGATACGTTCGAATTAAGGTCCATACAAGGCCTAGAATAAGCTTTAGAGAACCTTTAGATATATCTTCAGCTCCTAGAATTTAAAGAAATCTATTTTTAAAAGGTGAAATGTTTTTTTTATGTTAGTCAGCTAAAAAGCCGTTATTTATATAAATAATTAATAAAAGTTGACAGAACTGAAAAGATTTAATTGATATTAAAAAAAATTTAGATAAATAATTATACACAACATATATTAATAAATTGAATGTGAATATGTGAATTACATACCTATATTTACAAGTTTAACTCCATCTTTCCTCATTGCTTGAAAAGCTAATTCTATGTTACCACTTGCGGCATAATGGTTAACTGCATTTACTTTGATTCTACCGATACTCTTTCCCTTTAGAACATTCATTAATTTACATAACTTTTCGCCACTCCTCATATCTTTTGCCAAATTCTCAACCTTTTCAGAGACAGTCATCAATTTATCATTGACCCAATTACAAAAAGTCGAATGCTGCATTGTGACCCATTCTTCGAGTCCTTTAAACTCATTATCAGAAGCTTCGCTATTTGAATCAGAATCCATGACTTTTTAACTACTTAATCAACTGAAAATTTCATACGGTAAAAGATTTCAACACGCCCTGTTTTCATATAGGGCGGGACTGAACAGTATTGAAGATATTTTATGAAAACGGCCTCGTATTGATTCGCCCTTTTCAATTTCTGTGCGCTGCTTTTTTTAAGGCCTACACATTTTCTATAATTTTCTCAATAATATTCAAATGCTACTTTCTTTATTATTAAAGTTTACAGATGGTGAACACTATTTATCTATTTTTATAGTTATGTCATTGAAATGATGTGATATTAATATATAATAATACTCCATATGAAAAGACAGGAATAATTTTAAAAAATAGGGATTTATCAGCAAAGAAAGGGTTTTATATTTCAAAATATGAAGAAGGTAGAGAAATAGAACAGAAGCGAAAATGAGATAGAGAAGGTGAGAAAGAAAGAAGGAGGGAGGAAAGGATGGAGGGAGGGAGATTAATTGAGAAAAGTGAGATAATAGAAGGAGAGAGCGTATGTGAGTAAGCTATAGGTAATATAACAGAGAGAAACGCCTAATATTAAATAGTCCCAATTTATAAAAATATGTTTGTGGGCTGCTCGAAACTTGAATGTATTGTACTATGCGACACATAGACAACAAAAAATTGAAAATTAGTCTGATTGACAAGGTGTTTTTTATTCCTCAATATATTTTTTCTTAATTAAACAATTTATACATATATATATATATATATGTATATATATAGTATGTTAAATTAATTTTCTTGAATGATGAAGTAAGGTTATGAATCTGTAAAAAAGAAAAAAAAGATAAACAATAACAAATAGACAAAGCATAAATAAAATTCAAGAAACTTTAAAATTCCAATAGTATAGTTAAAAAAGTTAATGAAAAAAAGATAATTGAATTGGTAAAACAGGATAGAGAAGGATAAGGAAATTGTAAATCAAAACTAAATCTTGTCAAGATTACTTGTTGAAGAATTGACTGTTAATAGACAGTGATCGAGAATGAAGACTACTTAACGAGAAGATTCTTGTATTATAGGGACTTTCTTTCTTTATGAAAATAAACTCTTTTCTCTTCTTCCTCTTTTCTCTTTTTTTTATGTTTCATGCTTTTTATTACTTACAGTACAATGTCCTTTAAAAATAGATTATTCAATTTACTTTAAAAGTTATTTTTAAATTACTTCCATTTATTAAGTGAGTACTGTTAATAATAATTCTTTCAGATGTTCATAATTAATATATATTTACCTTTTAAATAAGTAAAGGTCATGTATCTATATAGAACAAGTTAAAAAAAATAGAACTAGACCTTTTTGCCTTCAACGTGTATCTTATTGTTCATGAACAAAAGTGTGATACTATTTAAAGATCAAAGATTGAACCATGTAGAATCCTACAGTATATATACATATATAAATATTTAGACTGTATACGAAAGAAAAGGATGTATCATGATAAACTCAATTATTTTAGAATTTGAACATGTTCTTATTATTTTCTTTATTATATAAATAACATAAATTTGTTTGCAAAGAGTCAACGTTTAATCTGGAATTTTTATCATCTTAATTGATTATTTATATGAAAAATAAATAATCGAAATGAGTTAATATATATCTATTTGTGCATTTATAGTTAGTTTTTAAGTACATTTTTGTAAATAATAGAGGAAAAGTACTTTCCCAACAAAAATCTATCTTTCAACCATGTTCGTAGTATCTTGTAAAAAAAATAGAAAAGAATAGAAAACTAGGAAAAAAAAACTGGAAATTCGATTATTGAACGTAGAATCTAAGAGTATTTCAAACGGTATAGTATATATCGTTAGATTCTCTGTAGATTTTATATTTTCTCTAAAATGTTTCCTTAAAAGCATCAGCTTGATAAATTATTTTTTTATTATGATTTCCTTGAATGAAAAATGCACTCAATTTGATCGAATAGCTTCTTTGAAATGTAGGAAATTATTGGGCTTTACTATATGTTTTTTGAAATATTATTAACAGTTAGAAAATGTGATTAATAGAAAATTATATATAAAACCAATGTTAATAGATCTATGCATGAGTAGCAACGTTACGTTAAATGTTTCGTGAAATATTATGTTCATATAAAAGGAATAGAATTTTTGAAGCTAACATTTCTGTTTGTTTTTTGTATTAAACATTTTCTATATAGAATAAATTTTAACGTTGTTTATAAAATATGTTAAAAGACTCTGTCATAGCGTCTTACCTTATCAGTTACGGTATTTATTCTTAATCAGATAGTGCTAGTATAGCTTTCACCAAATCATAAAAATCTTTTTATGTATAAAACATAATAAAAATGTACATATAATCATAATTACAATTTTGCCTTGTTGTTGCCCACCTATTCATTTATCGATATTGAAATCCCTATTAAGAAAATTACTTTGAGGTAAAATAATGACTAGATATTACGATGGCGTTACCAACGACAACTAGAAATGTTAGAAAATATTCTAATAGTAAGTAAACTCAAGTTCAAATAGAAAGAAATTTTAGTTTTCAATGATTAAATTTAATGTAAAGTTGATTTATTATTTATATAAAAAAAAAACCAATATTAAGTTTAAACAAGGAAGGTGAATAGTATCAAACGTATTGTCTTTATTTTTTATTATTGAAAAAGTATATCTATAATGGTAAACATAAAAAAAAGGTGGAGGAAGAAACTCTTTTTAGTTTGGATAGAAAAAGGAATAAGATTAAAACATAATTATACTCTTCTTCCTTTAAAGTCTTATAAGCGATTCGTTCAGAATCTATTGGAATAGATATAAGAAGCTGATGGGAATAGATAAACAAATATATATATAGAGGTAACTTCTGCATATATATATAATCTATAAACAATACAAGTACATGTATATACATATTTACAGTACAAGTACCGAATTTTAGTTTTACTAATTATGTTTATTTTATACTTACATTCCTTTAACATGGTCATTATCTTAGCCAAGTTAGAATTCCTCTTGACATTGAAGCCCGCTAATCTTTTCACTCCAAAATTTCCAAGTCTTTTCACTCCGAATCCTCCCAATTTCTTGTCGACACCAAAAGGTCCCAAATCCCTTTTCACACCGAAATTGGCTAACCTTTTAAACTCGTAGGGACCAAATGGAGCTCTGGTTTGTCGCCTTAAGATTCCGTTCTCCGATCGTTTTATATCGAACGTGGGAAGACACGCAACGTTCGCAGATAAGATAAGAACGGCAAATAAAAGAGCGTTAAGCATGCTTCCGACCGTTTAACTGTTGTAGACGTTTCGACTGAGTGGGCGGTTCCTACATATTTAAATAAGCTAATTAATATACAATTCGACATTCGGCTTAGTAAAGTATAATAAACTTTAATAAATTATTGTAATAGAAATTTGAATATGTGAATATGCTTACATTTTTAAAATAAATATTTAGGCGTAGAATTTAATTCGTTCATTGGTTTTATAAAATTTTAATAAAGATTTTGAGAAAATGGTTGTTTATTTAATAAAGAGTGTCAGAAAATATATTTTTTTCAATTTTAAGCTAACAAAGGCAATATTCGAACGATTTCAATTTAATAAGCCTTGAATTTAAGGCAATTCAAAAGCGAACACTTTATAATTATAGCATTATTTTACAAGCTCTATGATAAAACAAGAATAATATGAAACCCGTATCAAATAAAAACTATAGACAAAAGAGGAAATTGCTGGATATGAATTGTTTAAACTAATTAGTGTCTTGCTTATTCCGTTACGCGGTCGATTTTAAGCCCGTCATGATCGGCGTGAACATGATCTGTGTTCTTAAGTGGTAGTCTTTTTCTGATCACATACCCTCCCTCCTTCCCTCTTCAAGCACTTTCTCAGCCCGTTAAACAGATTTTAACAATCGTAGTATTAGTCTACACTATTTAGTCATTTTCCGATAATCCTATCCATCCATCCACGAAGTATATAAAATGCTTTGTACTTTTTCCATTATTTTTATAGAAGTAAATTGTATCTCTATGAATAAACAGTTAATTTCCTTGTAAAATGAAGTAAATTTCCTCTATTGTTGAATAAATAAAAAATTATAAAGTTGAAATTTCATTTATAAAGAGAATCATTGAAAAATTAAAGTAGACTAAAAATTGAATTACGACGTTAAACGTTGAAAGAATTTAAATGGGTTTATTTGAACGAGAAGAAAAATTCTTATTTGTGGCCATTTCTATGTATTAAAGTAATTGTAAACAGATCACGAGCCTCGAATTTCTCTTCGTTGTACGTTATTCACACATACCTTTTCCGGTTCATCGGCTGCTGAATAAAGCTTCTATATAGGTAGAAGTTTGATGCTAATTTCTGTTTCAGAAGCTATCTAGCAGCCATAAGAGCAGGACTAAAAGGTTGTTTTGATAAGAAGAGTGTGTATTTATTGGTAAATTTAATTAGTTAGTAGTGTTCGATAGAAGTAGTTTGGTGGATAAAAATTATTTCAAGATACTCCCTTAACTTTCACCTCCTACTCTCCCTCCCCCTCACTTTCTACTCATGTGACCAACAAAATTATCATTAAAATGTCAAAAGAAAGCTATACCTACAACTGTAGAATTAAGCCTGGTATTATCCAGTACAATATCAATCCGTTAGGATAATGTCTTCGTAAGCAATATTATAGTTATGATGATAGGATTAACCATAAAAAAAATTGTCTTTTTAAATCCAGATGTTTCTCTACTTCTAGGTTTTAAATAAAGAATATAGTTAGAATTTAGAGAAAAAGAGGAAAAAAGTACCAGAAGACAGTCATAAATTTAAGTGCTGGACGTAAAAGCAACTGCTAATAAGTGTTTTTCTGGTATGAAAAGTACACTCAGTTGTATTATGGCCTTCTAATTTTTGTAATTTGAAAAAAAAATCGATTATAAAATCTTTTCTCTTCTCTTTAGATATTTCTAAGTCTTCATAATTTATTCTATAGATATAATTAAGTTTTAATCTCTATAAAAAGGGCGCTACACTTAAATATATAAAAAATAACCAATCAGCTGTTCTCTGTACATCTTTGCCTATCGCAGAAGAAGTATTTATTTCTTAATGAAAAAGTCCAACTATCAGATGTATTTTTCTTCCATTAGGGAATATGATAAGATTATATAGTAAACTTTTGATCTTATTTATGTCATACGTTCGAATAAACACAATACTGAAGACTAATTGCTTTTATAGCACACAATTATAAGATCAGTCAATTAACTAGTGTTGAACAAATTTTTACTAATATATTACTTGAATTGTATAAGAAATGATTAAAGATAAATTGAATAAAGGAAAGAAGGAAAGAGACGAACAGAGGAAGCAGATAGACAGATTGACAAACAGAAGGAGATATATGTGTTAGAGAAAGAGAGGAGAGAGAGAGAGAGAGAGAGAGAGAGAGAGAGAGAGAGAGAGAGAAGCAGAGTTAGTGAGTGTTTGGAAAGAAAGAAATACAAGAAGATAGAGAGAGAAAAAAGAGAACGAGATACATAGATAGGCAGAAAACGTGAACCGATAGAAGAGTAAAAAGGGTCATTTTACAAATAGAAAATTTAACTCAGCTATAATGTATTCTCAACTTCAAACAATGAAATCTTCAAAGTTGTTTATTATGCTAGATTATGCTGGTAAAAGTCTACTTTAAGTAACAAGTAAAATGTATAAATATAATATAGAAAATTTTTTAATCTAAAAATATGCTGTATACACCATTTGCATGTAAGAAAATAAATGACAAACTATTAATAAAATCATAATAATGTTTAAGATATTATTTTTATGGTAGCATTAGTAATAAATTATTAAAAGCAATCAAGGGTTGTTTTCTTTCTCTGTTTTGTTTTCACTTTTTTCCACTCAACAGCGTTACCTATTATTTATGCTTAATATATTGTCATTCAGAAGAGATTTGTAAATGTATTCAACTACATATAAGGACTATAAATGCTGTGAATAAATTAATTTAATGAATTTTGACCTAATTATTAATACAGTAATAAAAAAAATTAGTCAAATAAAAGTGAAGAAGTTTTAATGAAAATTAATAAATTAAAAAATAATAATATATACATTTCCTATTAATTAATGTCGTTAATTTTTAATCATTTACCCTCTTAATTGACGAAAGGAGAGTCTGATCTGCAATTGTATTGCTATAGTTTTGTCAATACCATTTTTTGTAGATGTAATATCACATCTTAAAAAATCTAATAATCTATATAAGAAAATGATCATAACAAAGAAAATTATCTTTAGAACTTACAAATTCATGCTCAATTAGAATTCATTTGGCGATATATTCTAGAAAGAGTTTGTCATATTGATGATTATACAAATATATAATGATTCTACAGTTTAAATTACATCTATTTAGCATCTTTCAATTTCTTATTTTAGCGCAATTCTTTTAAACGTAACTTTAGTAGTTGTTAATTTGAATTCTCCAAACATAAATAGATTTTATTAAGAGACGAACAAGAGAGAAATAGTTCTTGTTTTGTGATTATTATTTCAAATTAGTGTAGATTTTTCAATAATAGATTAAAAATATTATATATATATATGTATAATTGTTGTTGATTCATCTAATAAAGGTTTTGTTAGAAATAGCATTGTGCTTTTGAAACCTGAATGCTTTCGCAAATATAGATGGTGAAATCTATATAGATTCCTCTTTTTAGCGTAATGGAATCTTAGAAAAGACATTTATGGATTGTATAAGTTAAATAAATAATGATTAATCATCAATAATACTTAATTTAAGATAGTAAACCGTCAAATAAACATATGAAGAGTGTAATAGATGAAAAAGGCTTTAAGAAGTACATCATCTAACAGGAATCTATCATGAACTGTATGTATGGAAATTATTTACTAGTTCGTAAAAAACCCAGAAACACGAAGAAGATGCTAAATAAATGATTATTCGATAGGAAAACATTAAAAACATTATCTGTCTGCTCCTTTTTTTATCTTATTTAGTAAATTCTTAAAGCTCAGCTGGGAAAAAGAACAGAAAGTAAATTGATCTGACGCTAAAGTCTAAAAACGTTTAAGATTTTGAATGTGATATCTATAAATATTAATATATAATCTCTTTTTTCTTTGAAAACTTTTATAACTAAGATCTATTATATATTCAAGTTTTATTCTATAGATAGGCCTATGTCTAATTATCTCATTTTACATTTAACCTATTTTTTTATTATCTCGAATAGCTAAATATATTTCTTCAGCAAGCTTACAAAAAGAAAATTTCTCATTCTCATAAAATAGACACTTCGTTTGAAAACTTTCTTTCTCTCACACCTTTCTTTAACATAGCAACCCAATCTAATAAAAGGGGTGGGCCTTGTTATTAGAATAATGGTTTTCTCCTTATATTCCCTTCATCAAGTACATTCAAAGTTGTAAGTCAATGTAAATAACTTATTAAACAAGATAGTTAAAATATTTTCCTTCTATATATAATTGTTTTTCTTACTTTAAAACATATTTTTTTAGTATATATATGTAAATTCTGTTAACTGATTTATAGTTAATCCTAGAAAATTCATAATCTAAGGTATATTCTCCAGAATACACAATTTAAACCATAAAACGTTAATTTTTTGTATCTTATAGAGTTTTCATCTTAGTTCAATAATTATACTTACCTACAGAGTTTTTTTATTACTATATTACACTATACAAAATGTATTTACAGTAGATTACGTATGTTAGAATAAGCAGTAAACACCTAAATATTTTTATGTAAATGTATCTATATATAATATATGTACTCTAATATAGTAAATTTCTATACTGAAAAATTATATATCTTATATTTAATCAAATTTTTCTATAGATCAAGGAAGAGAAATATTCTATGTTATAGTCCTATCAATGATAGTAGGATAGGAGGAATCTAATACTAATTCCCTTTTATATTTTATTTTTACTTTTCCTTAAATTATCCACACCTATATCTTATTTTATATTTCAATTCCTGTATCACTTTTAATACAATATATAGTAGATTATTTTTTTAATTAAAACGATGATGTTCAGTTATTCTTGGCGAACATGTAACTTTTTTATCCTTGAAAAACCTATGACTTTTTTAATACTGTTTGTCTGTTACCAAAATATTATAATGAAATTTATCAGAGTCTGAAATCAATACAAAACAACTTCTATTATCAAATGCGGATGATTTTACATTACTGTTATTTTGTTTTAGCTATCTGTCATTTCCTACATAAAAGCGCCCTCTTTAGTTGTAGAGATTAAAAATTTACTGAAAAAAAAAATGTATATATAATATGTATATAGTATATAACAATAACATAGTATATAACAATGGCAGACTATATAACAATGGCATAGTATATAGCCATGTCTTAAATGTGTGTTGTTATTAATACTTTACTAGTAAGATATTATGGAAAGACTGAAATAACTGAATGAAACAGATAGAGTTATTCGACTTTATTGATGAATTTAACAGAGTATTTATGTTATATTTAAAGAAGTAAAATTGCCAAAAATAAAAATATAGGAAGATTATGTTCAAGAGAAAAGAGAAAGAAAGAAAAAAATTCTATAACAAATAAAAAGTTCTTCTTTTAATAGAATTATAGTATCTTTTTTTTGTCTAGAGATAAATCACAGAAGTTGAAACATTTCTATCCATATCGTGTATGCTTTACACAGAATATAGTATAGATATATATACTGTATATATGCTGTATATACTGTATATACTGTATATACTGTATATGCATATACATATATATATATATATATATATATATACGGACAGAACATATGGTTTTAAATATTTCTACATACTTTATTGTTTCCAAATAATGAATTTTCTCAAAAAACTATTTTGATAAAATTATTAGTATTTTTAGCATTGTTTACAGTCCCTTAGAATTGCCAATAGATTAGCTAGATCCGAACTCCTTTTTACATTAAAACCAGCCAATCTCTTCACTCCAAAGTTTCCCAATCTTTTCACTCCAAAATCTCCCAATCTCTTCACTCCAAAGTTTCCCAATCTTTTCACTCCAAAATCTCCCAATCTCTTTACTCCAAAGTTTCCCAATCTTTTCACTCCAAAGTTTCCCAATCTCTTCACTCCGAAATTTCCCAATCTTTTCACTCCAAATCCTCCAAGCTTCTTATCAATTTGAAAAGGTCCCAACTCTCTCTTGACACCAAAATTTCCCAATCTCTTGAAATCTTCGTGATACATCTCGTTTGATGGATATCTTGAATAGCTGTCCTCCACCTGTTGTTCATTCAAGGCAGGGAGACAGATAACGCTTGACAAAATATAAACGGTTAGTATGAGAGTGCCAAGCATGGTTTCAATGCTTTAACTGTGGTAAGCGGTTATGGAAACTGGGCGGTGCCTACATATGCAAATCACTCATTCACTGGCAAATTAATAAATATTGCTCTCGGTAGAGAAAGAAATTAGAGAAGATTTATGCTCTGACATATAGTCTAGATTAAAAAATTTCTCGTTTTACACAACATGACAACTTTTCAAAAAATAAAAGAACATTTAAATGATAGTATAGAATTTCTAAAGTCAAATATTAGATCACTAAAGATGAAATGCTATTTCTTTCTACCATATATAGAAAAAAATCTTAATATAACGTTAATCAAAGGTTTGAAACCGCAGCGAGCTATACAGACGTGTAAGATAGAAGCAAAACAATAACAGAGAATAAAAGGTTTACAGTAAATATGTATTTACGTAAGTGCTTTTCATCAGTCTAAACGATCCTGAGCTGTTTTCGTAATTAATCCGAAGAAATTGACATTTAGAGTGATAATTCATACAAAAGGAAACACGAAAAGTGTTTAAAAAAGGGTATTTACTTGAAAAAATAGCAAGAAGAACAATAATATACAGTAGTATATCTTCCTTATCTTCAAGAGAGTTAATGGTTTTCTTATACAGTGTATACAAATGTAACTAATATTAAGAACCATATATTGATGTAACTGATTATTATATTTCAATCACGGCTTAGCATAAATGAACAATTAACGGTTCTCAGTAAACCAAAAATAGAAAATTTATTCGTAGGTACCTACTTTAAAAAGAGGACAAATGGCTGTTGATGACTTTCAAACAGTAACCTCAATTATCTTCTAGAATATTTTTCTAGACAAAGAGGTGAATTATTGTATACAAATAATTTTTGTTCAATTTTCTATAATTTTGTTATAGATTTCCTCCCCACTCATTCTCAATTATATACTATAAAAAGAAAGTTATTTTACAAAAAAGAGAGCAGATAGATTGATTTTGTTTTAGTTTTTTTTGTCTAAAATAAATCTTTAAAAGTACGTCAAATACGTATTCGTCGAAGTTAATTTGCTATTTGCTTCGACTTGGATAAATTAGAGGCTATCTTTACATAAAATCAATAGAATATACATTTTCCGATACAATATCAAATTAATCTTCTCATATTTTAGGATTAGAGAGAAAAAAATTACCATTTACGTAATTCGCAATCTTTAAAATGTTTATTAAAAATTTACTTAGAAGTAAACTTAATTGAAAAATTTAACATTTACTTCTTTCTCGTTTAGAATCTTAAATTTTCATTTAGCTTATTTAATAGAATAATGGATTATTTTTAACTATTCTATTTGAATAGGAAAAGAGAGAGAGAGAGAGAGAGAGAGAGAGAGAGAAGAGTTTGCTTGAATTCATTCTTTTTATCCTATCAGTTTTTTTTTATATCCAGTTCTGCTGTATATTGTGAGAAGATAAACATTTTAAAAGATAGCCTCATAGCTGACAGTGGAAAGGTAAAATGAAGAGATATTTGCAGTAAATTAACTATTGTTCTAAATAAAGCGGACTTATTTATATAAAAAATTTATAAATATAGAAAAGTATATTATGTTGTATTGTTTGCATTTAGATTTCACTTATTATATAAAATACTAAGATTACATCTTATTAGACCAATAATGCAAAAAGACATATAATTTAAAAATAAAGAATATCAATTTTGAAGAATTATATTCTATAAAGAATTCTCTTTCTTCTCTTTCTTTCTATTATAAGGGGAGAGAGGATGTTTGGATAGAGAGGTCTCATAGTAGATCATTCCAGATAAATATCACTTTATACCTTTTCATATGTATGTATAAAAACTGGTGAATAGAAGTAAAAAATCTGCTAAGAGATAATTAGGATTTATGATCATTTGTTATTGTTATTGTTGTTATAGTTTTGTTATTATAATCAACAAATTATATATGTATTCATCTATTTCAAATAAATATTAATATACTATATACAACAACATACAAAAATAGTGTGTTTTTGTTTTATAATAAAGAGAATGAGTATTTAAAATGATAATACATAGATTTATATATTCTGTATTTATATATGCAGCTTAGATTTTGCAAGATAAGGATATTTCATCTAGCTTTATTTTAGTAGAGATTAATATGACGAAATATGCAATTTAATATTCCTTTTCCCATTATAGTATTTTATAACATTAGTAAACACTCTTTCCTCCATCTTTTGGATGTCAGTACGTATTACTTTTTAAATTAGGTTTTCCGGGTATAAATATTGATAGAAATCATAATTAATCAAATTGAATTTGTCAATCTTTTCCTAAAGCTTCTAAAAATATATTTACCTTGGAAAATAACAAACAAAGAGGAAAAGCTTATAAACATAATTTACGCAGGATGAACTATACTTGTTTTCTTTAAAATATTCGCCAAGTTTATCTAACAATTCAATAATCTGACATATTTAAAGAAAAACCTGAAACTTTCTTCTTTGAAAAAGCCGACAGGAGTCACTAGCCTAGACAGCCTAGAGACGCCCTCTTTGAGATTACCCATAGAATTTTTTTCGAGGAATAACGACTTATGTAAATTTGAATTTATGAAGGATATTGTATTTCCGGGTAAGTTGCGGCTGGGAAATAAGAACGATTCTGTAAAGAAAATTTTCTAGGTAAGCTTTTGTTAAGAAGTCACCAGAAGATTTTGGTGTTTTATTTAAAAAAAACGTATAACGTGTGCTAATTAGTTAGAAATACTAATCACGAAGAATTCAGTATTATAACGAATACTTTGTATATAATAAGATGAAAAATTTTTAAATAATAGCATTCTACTTTTATCTTAAGGCAGTTTGTTCTTTAGTTTCGCAAAGCTTGTCACTGTCAGTAAGGGCATTTTCAGAAAATGTGGTAAAATTCTGTATCTAAAAGTATGTCAAGGTCAAGATATAAAGTGACAAAGGTAATAATACTTAATACGTCGGGTTTGACCGCAAGAGGGCCCAAGTACATATTAATTTAGAAAAAAGTTTGTGCATTAAACTACAAAGAAAGATATGCCTGTGTCTTTCTCCTAAATGAATTGAGAACTTTATACGTTACAGCGTTCTTTAGAGTAAAAAACTTGTCCCATTAGCAGAGTATTATATGTATTTTTATATTTTATAAAACATAAAACCATTGTTCGTAGGAATTGCATAAAACGCAGAACTATATACAGAATACAGCTTACGTGTTGTTTTTCTTGTTATTTTTTGAGATGTTTTATGATTAATATAGCGTATTATTTCCTGGAAACATACCTAAGTAGTAACTTTTAAATTATTCCTCTAAATTGTAGGCGGATAAATACAGTCTGATCCCTCAAAAGTACGGACAATAGGATTTTTAGGGTTATTGAATCCTTGAGAAATTAGGAAATCCCTTACTTCTTTGTCATATTTGTCGAAAAAACTTTCTGGATCTCTTGCTAATACAAACAAATTGCGTTTAGTTGGCTCGCTAACAATCGCATATTCGTATAATCCTTCACTTCCATATATTTTAGGTCCTAGCTTTATTATCCAGTAATTTCCCGGATACGGAATTCGGTAGAATTTCACCTTTAAAACACCAGGCCTGTCTGTTGTATAGGCATAGCCGGAAATATTAGATGGAGGTCCTGTAGGTGATCCTATTCTCATAGCGTTGAAGACACTAATTGAACTCTCGCTAAGGATTTTATCTATAAAAGATTTTTTATATAATTTACATTTTGAAATACATTAAAATTTTAAGGAATAGGAATATTTACAATCAGCAGTGCAGCAGAAACCGTTTCTTTCCGTTCTTTCAATGGCAAATTTTGAAGCATAGGCCTATTATATCTCAAATTTAGTCTACCAAATAACAGAAACAATTTGATTACCTGATACCATCTGCCAATATATTTTTTTAGGTTAACTTCATTTACTGGAACTATCGGTTTGTTGTTAGAGTCTAGTTGATTTTTCTCTCCTCCATAAAGACAATCTCCCTTCTGATAGTTCTCAACGAAACGATTAAAAAATCTATTAAAACCCTCCTTTTTCAAATACTCTCTAACTTCTTTATCATATTTTTTTTTAAATGTAACTGGATCCCTGGCAATAACCCACATGAATAACCTTGTAGGATCAGTGATTATAGAGTATTCATAGAGATTTTTCTCCCCGAAAGCTTGAGGGCCCAGCTTAACTATCCAATAATTTCCCTCAATTGGAATGGACTTAAACTTTACTTTAAGAATTCCTGTTCTCTTTGTCGGATAGGCATAGCCTGAAACGTTAACTTCCTTCCCCTTAGGCTCTTTAAGCCTCATAGAATTAAGGACACTTATCTTATTATCTGGAAGAGGACCATCTGTAAAATTTAAATAATTTATATCTATATTCATATTAATAATTATATAAGAGTTTATTTACAGTCAACAAATGGGCATACTCCATTTCTCTCTATAGTATCCATAACAAAACTACTTGCGTATAGCTAAAAACAGTGGAATATTAAATATGGAGAAGATTGAAGATAAAATATAACGCCACCTGATACCATCTACCATAATATTTGTCAACATTAAATTCTTTGACTGGTATCACTTCATCTTGAATATTCTTCAGCACAGTGTTATAAAATATATACAAAAATGACGATTTTATAGCGCTTGTGATCCACATCTTAGCATAAACTAGAATGTTCAGATTGAAAGCACTTCTTTACATATAAAAGCTCCAGAAATTGGGTCTCTGAATAATATCTAGAACGGATATGTTGATTTTTACTCTAATATCGCTCACTGATTAAATTACAAATTACGCACTTGTAAGTTCAACGATCACAATAACAAATGCTTATATATATATATATATATATATATTTATATATTAAATAATTTAATAGATGATTTCTCTAAAGGAGTTAATTAAAAGTTCTTGTTCTTACAAAGTCGGAATAATTCTCCTGGTGTTCTATTTATTTACTATAACTATTGCATAATAGTTATAGTTTAAAACATGCATTACGCAACCAGCTCTATATATACTGTATATACACGTATGTTTTGCTTTGTTAATATTACATAACCATTATATTAAGAATAATTCTCAGTAATCCAAATTAGGTAATAGGTTTTCTATTAATTAAGATTTTCTTCTAATTGCACATTATGTTAGATGTTAGGAAAATAGTTTATCATTATTTTCTCATTTTAAATCATTATAATTATCTAATTCTGCTTTATAGTTCATCAAGGCTCTATATATAGAATTTTGGGTCCGTTAAAATCATTATAGCCGGCCAGTGAACTATATCTAAAGTACACCATATAGCTACATTGATATCGAAACTCCTAATCGAAAATGAAAAGAGCCCTTTGCCCAATCTGGTTCCGATTGGTTGTTGGCCTTTATCCAAGAATAAATGAATGACAACTTCTTTCCCACACTAGAGCAGTATCCCTCCTACGTAATTTCTCCAAATTAAAATTGTTTTTTTTTTAAAATTCAAAGCATATCAAAATTTACTTTGAAAGAACTGAATGGTAGGCTCAGCCGGATCATAAGAAGCAATATAAGCGTTAAATCAATAGGAGTAAGGGATAGTATAGACCTAGAAAATTCAGATAACGACTAGAGAGTAATAAAGCTGCTTTAAACTTAGCAGGAATGCAACAGAAGAGAAGAGTATACAAATAGGTAGAGACGACTTTATCAAGGAAATGATTTTTATAATTTTTTAAAACCGTTAAATTATAAATAGATAATGGAAATGAAGAAATGGCAGGATGATGAAGCATATTTATAGGTATTTTTACACTACACATAATATTCATTAATTTTTGATATAAAGAAATAAATTATAGCTTATTTTCTACCTATGTAATATCAGGATATTATTACATATTTACTAATAATTTCGTCTGCTATACTTTTATGTATTGTAATTTAGTTTCGGTTTACATAATGAATATAAATTTTAATAAATTTTCACTTAAATCAGAGCTAAACGATGTATAAAGTAGTGAAAAATCTGAAATGACTATCTATTTTTCTAAAGATTAAACCTAATTTTGCTATACTTTCTTTCTTTTGTCCTTAAACCCAATATTTTATTTGTATGCTGGATAAACGCAATTTCCACCATGGACAACTCTTCTATAAGGATTATCTTCACTATTAAATCCTTCCTCATCCAAAAAGTCTCTAACTTCTTGATCAAATCTCTGGTTGAAGTCATCAACATTTCTAGCCAAAACGAATAGGTTTAGTTTTGTTGGTTCACTGACAAGAGCGTATTCGTAGTAGCCATCGAATCCAAAAGTTTTAGGACCCAATTTAATTACCCAATAAGGAGCAATTCTTGGTACACCAGCTAACTGCACACTTAAAACTCCTGGTCTATTTGACGGATAAGCTATACCTCCAAGGCCATACGGTGGACCAGATGGTGAATTTTGTCTTTGGTAATTATATACACTAATATTTCCATCAGGCAATGGTCCATCTGTTTAAAACGTATTATTATTGTTATTGTTGATAGTTTATGATGCAAATAACGTGATAATGTTACTTACAAATTGCTACGGAGCAGAACCCATTTCTTTGTACTCCATCCAAAACAAATTTGCTTCCATAAATCTAGAAGAAACATAAAAAAGTATTAAGAATATTCGATGAAATATCTCTATATGTGCCATTATATAATTAATGAAAATATCGTAGAATGTCCTTTTATGATTGGTAATTTTAGAAATTCTAACTAATTTCTAGTAAGACAATAAGAAAATATTCTTACTTACTGTACCTAACACTAAAAATAACTATAAAAATAATAATATAATCCAACTTCAAGAAGAGCTTCTTTTTCTTGTTTAATGAATCATTCTGATGTGAAGCTACCTTCAAGGTCTTGTTTACAATTTACAGTTTTTTCTCAAGTCAGCAATTGATAACTAGGTATACACGTATATGTATAGTTTGTTTTTCAACTTTTCACTAGAAAAAGATTAGCTAAGTGCTTTTACTAACTTTCAGAGTTCCAATAAACGGTAATGCTAAATATAAACAAATAGCTGCATTCTTAATTCATATAGTTTACAATGAAAAATATAAAGGTCTATTGCGAATGCGAAGAAATGACGAAAAAGTATTTTTCAGAGAAGGTAAAAGAATTCTTTATCGTCTTCCTTATCTCTTTGATTAACTATCGGTTTAGTATAAAAGATACTACTCATAATCATGTACATTAGGTACTTCCCTAAGTTACTAGATCAGTGGAAAAAGGAAATAGAAAAAATGTTCCTATTTTCATATTGGCTATTATATAAATAACCGAGAGAGAGAGAGAGAGAGAAGACATGTGGACAGAATTGACTTTAAAATAGCTACAACTAAAACAAGTAACCAAGTATTATTTTACTAGTACTATCATATACTTCAGAAAGAAAATTGCCATAGTTTTAATAACCTATGTCAACTTAAACAAACAGTATATTAAAATAGGATAAATGGAAAGTTATATAAAGAGAAAACATAAAACAAATGCCTGTTGTTTCTGTTAATAAATTTTACTCAAATTCTAAAAAAAAAATCAAGTGAAAAATAAGGAATAAAGAAAAGTTTTTAGGTTATCAGGAAGCTTTTTATTATTATATGGACGGTTGTTTGTAAAGTATTAAAAGAGGTTATAGTAGCATAAAAAACTAACTGACTTTGAAAGATTATTTTCATATATTTCTCAGTCTCGTCTCTTTTCTTTGATTTAAAAACAAAAAGTATACAAATATTGTGCGGTCAATTAAGAGAAATATTAATTTAATGAGGTTTCATCCTTTCCTAATCAAAAGCTATATTTTTGATCAGAAGCCAAGTTAATTACAAGTAATTAGTTACATTTCTATTTTTTAAAACACTTAGATGCAAATACATGTATTATATTTTTAATGATCTAAATGAAATATAACCTTTATGAATAGACTGTATATACTATACAAGTATATCTTTAATAGTATCTAAAAAAAGTCCTTCATTTACAGCAACATATCTACTTTAAAATATAGAAACGTTTTTTTTGTTTCTCTTGTAGTGAATCTGATTAATGAAGAAACGCCTTGCTTAAAAATGTATTCTGCGAAACCCTAAAAGAAGCGGTTTATTATGCTTATCATTGCTGATACTTGTTAGAAATAGACGTTTAGTTTTTTTCAAATAATTAGTAAATTAATATTACATTTACTAGAGTAAATCGAAACAAAAATACAAATGTTACACTTTTGTTAGATGCTATAACTAATAGATACTCCCTCTACGTGCTTTAGACAATACATAATTTTTATACATCTTTAGAAATTACGAGTTCTATGAGATTGTAATATTTCTACTTTGAATCGATAGGTCAACGAATACAAATTAGCGCTAATGTACACGAATCTGTTGCTTGAGGGTTCATTCATTAAACTATTCTAATATAGGAAACAGATTAAATTAGTAATATCGGGAAGAAAAACTGAGCCGCTTTCTATAAACCTTTAGGAAGAAGAAACAAAGAGCAAAATATAGATTTCTAAAAGTAAATTCTTCCTGTTTTTCTTTACTCTCACTTTAGTAATGCTTGAAGAGTGTCAAATGCTTTTTTATAATGAAAATTAAGAAAAAAATTACCTGGTACCATCTTCCATAATATCTGTCAACTTCTAGCTCGTTTACTGGCACGATATCTCTGCTCTTCGGATAGATACATCTGGATCCTTGGAACTGTTCTACGTAAGGATTTCCTGGGGGATTAAATCCCTCAGCCTGTAAGAAATCTGTTACTTCCGCGTCAAATCTTGTCTTGAAATCAGAAATATTTCTCGCCAGGACGAACAAATTTAGCCTTGTTGGTTCACTTATTATTGCGTATTCATAGAATTTATTTGGACCAAAAGTTTGCGGTCCAAGTTTTATGACGTAATAATTTGGGGCTGGTGGTGTTGGAACGCCATTTAATCGTACAGTGAAAACTCCTACTCTTTCGCTTGGAATAGCCTTGCCTGAAATATTTCTGGCAGGTCCATCAGGAGCTCTGATACGTTGAGCATTAAAGACACTAACATTGCCATCTAATCTAAAACCGTCTAAAGCAAATGTATTATGTAAAATATTGCACACAAAAATTTACAAAAAGCGTCAACTTACAATCTGCGGTTGAACAAAAACCGTCTCTTTGCGTTGTGTCCATGACGAATTGGCTTGTGTAGGCCTGTAAAAGAGAAGAAGAATTTTTCCCTTTATAGAAGAAGATCGACAAGACAATTTCGTGAAAATGACATAATTACCGTAAACCATCGTCCAACATACTTTTCCAGAAATAATTCAGGTACTGGAACGAGTTCTTGAGTTTGAATCAAGCATATTAGAGATAAAATGAAAAGGAATGTAGAAAAAATCTTTGAAAGAGTCTTCATCTTCTTCAAACAATCTTGCAGCTGAGAAAGTCTATATGTATAAGCTGTTCATCATCGTCCCTTTTATACTTCACTTAAGTAGGTCTTTGCTTAAACTGATAAGTTAGATAAATTATTTGGAGGTAAGTATCTTTATTATCACTCACAAAATATTACAATAAAATGAATGTAAGAAAAAAAATTCGTGTGAATCTGTGTCAATTCGTTAATATTTTATAACAGTGTTAGGATTCTAGATAGTTTTCCTCCAAAGGGAAAAGAGTAATAAAGAAAGAAATAATCGAAAGTTCATATTCTAGATCAAGTAATAAGTGTAAACTGTATTAACCTATTACCAAACACTAGTCCTATATGATAACAGGTGTCTTTAAATTATTTCAGTACAAAGTCAATAATCTTTAAAATCAAACAATTTTTCTTTTATAAATCATATGGAGGAGATTTTCAAAGAATTTACACTTACTTATTCAATGTTATATTTATCTTCAATTGTTCTAAAATAATGACAAATGCTTTGTATTTTCGTTTACTTATTTATGAATAAAATTACACTACTTAACTTGTATAAGTAACTCAATACAGAAATCCTCAATGCACTGGTTTTGCATTGCTAATAGATATTACATTGAATCATTGAGAGCACACTTTGATCGCAATGGCAGTTATTTAAGTATTACACATTGTAGAAAAATTATAAAATATTAACAATCCATTGATAAAGTTTCGTTTGTTGTTGTTTACTACGGATGAAAATCGGGGAGATAATTCTTTAGAATTACGTAGGATAAATAGTAAAAAGGTTGATATAGAAAGAGCTGGAAAGGGAGACACAGAGAAGAGAAAAAAAAATAGAAAGAGGTACGGTAAAGCCATTTAAATATCGAACTAATTACTGAAGTCTAAAAGTCTAAAATGTACCTTAAAATACAATGTATTGTTAATTACCATTGAACTAGTTTCAATTAATCAGCCTGTAATAGATATTTCTCTAAGTTACCTAAGAGAAGAAATAACAGTTAAAGATACTCGTCTGCTTGAAGTTTATGCTCTTTTTTAAATTAATAAGACAGTTTGATAAGTTAAAAATAGTTTATTAATAAATTTTTGTATGAAATATAATAGATTATGTTATAAAAAGAAAAAATTTAGCCGCTATGTCTCTTCATACATCGTTAATTAATCCGGATCTGTACAATCGTCTTCTTAATATGTCTGCTTATCGGGACTATCTTTCGTGTTGAAACCTTGTTTTTCTTGGATCGCTTCAAGTCATCTCCGAACAATCCATTTTACCTCTAAACTTCTCTAATACGAACAAAACTAAGACTTCAAGAATCATTGCCTATAGCTTATATGAGATAGTCATCAGGACAAAAATCCCTAGTCCTAGTTTGACAACCCAATAGTTGACCCAAAATTTCCTCTTTCAGAATAAATTTTAGAATATTACTTCTGTTCGTAAGATAGCGAAAGAAGGACCATCAGGTGCAAGAGTCTTAGAGCCTTAAAGACGCTAATACTACAATACTGTTGTGGAGCATCTAACAACAAAAGAGTATGTTAACGTTTGTTATTGCGTTTGCAATGATAAATTATGTCAAATTTGTTAATACAGTTTATAAAAGTTATCTTCATCAGGATAATTTTTTTCCTTTTCTTCAGCTTTTACAAAGAGTTATCAATTAACGTTTGTAGCATACAATATGTAAAATATTCACGCTTTTGTAATAATTTTTCTCTATTATTCTCTTTTCTTTTTGATATTAAAAATTCTTTCAAATAAAATGCGAATCTTGAAAAGAATCACTTGAAGCATTTTTTTAGCATTGAAACCGAAAATATAGATCTAGAAGGACAATTTTTAATTATTAGTAAAGTTGCATGATTCTATAGAGTAGAAGTAATCGTTACCGTACACCAGTGTGCTACGTAACGACTGGCATAAGGCTAACAGTAAAGAAAATAATTATTTACCATCCTGTTCGTTAAGATTGATAACCTTTATATAGTATTACCCAATTATTTTAAAAGGTATATCACTACAAAGAGATATTTTTTAACTCTGTTATCTTTTTCATTCTATGAAGAAAATTATGAAACTAATATGAGCCCCAAGAAATGTTTACCTATTAGTATCACTTGAAAAACTCTATTAGATTGTATTTACATAAAACTATGTTATTAATTGTATGTTCATATGTATTGAGGTGAAATGAAAACATACCTGATACAATCGTCCGTAATTCCTCTCTAACTCTATTTCATCGACTGGAATAATCTTCCTACTTTTAGGATATAAGCGATTTTTACTGTGAAAGGTTTCAAGGTAGGAATTTATAATATTGTTAAACCCATTTTGATCCCAAACTTCTCGAGCTTCAGAGTCATATTTGCGCCGATATCTCTAGTCAATACGAATAAATTCGAGTCTTTCGACTCGCTAACTATAGCATACTCATATAAGTTGCCATTACTGCATATAGCAGGTCCTAATTTAAAACTAAATAACTTCCAACCAGTGGAACTCCCGCAAGGTGAACATGTAGGACACCAGGGTTCTCAATAGGAATTGCAAAGCTAGAGATATTTTAAGAATATACCATTGGGTCTAGAAGTCTCATGGTGTTGCAAAAACTAAGGTTTCCATCCAATCTGCAGCCATCTACATTTATTTAAATATAGTCTAATTGATATCAATAGGAAGTTGAGTTGATTTTTTTGAATATTTTTAAAAGAAAGAATTAGTATTGACATCATACTCACAATCTGCTGTAACGCATACTCCAGCTTTTTCAAAGGTTTCTTTTACGAAGGCCTATTAATAGAAAGTTACTTATCAAGGTTAGCACTTCTTCAACACTGTATATGACAAGTTTACCTGATACTATATGTTTTTCAATAATTAATTCACCAATAGGTTTTATGAATAGTGCTGGCGAAAAATTAATACGACCTTGAATATTTGGACGAAATGACATAGTTATTAATTGACGCGAGAAATTTTAGCGGTGAAGCAAGGTGACTTCCTCATGCTATTGAAGGAAAGAACAAGTCGGAATAATACATTTTATAGATAATTAATTGGATCTCTTTTAGTAATAGATAACGATAAGAAGTGACTAGCTTTAAACCTTGTTTATTACCAATTGTCATAATACTCTTTCCCTGCCGTTTTTAATCTTGCATAATCATTCCTCATGATGATGCAGTATTTTTTCTATATATCATCTCTATGCCGTATGGTTTTCATACGTAAAAGTCTAAATAAATCTATAAACATATATAAAAAAAATATACATATAAAGACATAAACCAGATCAAGTAATAAGAAAAGAGGTCAATTGATAAGATTTTGAAATCACTTTGATTCTATTTTTAGATACGTCTAATCAAATTCATAAACAGTAACAAAACAAAAAGAAACAGAAAAAACAATTGACGCAAGGAAATATAAAGGTTTTTTTTTCTAGGTAATAATAATAGAAGAATCCGTTCGCTCTTTTTTCAGCTTATTGTTATTTAATAAAAACACAATTAAAAATACTCTATTCATTAAAAAAAGTTGTATTTTTTATTAAAAATCTAATCAACTAGAAAAATATATTTTCAAAAGAATGAAATTGAAAATATCTCTTTGAAAGAAAACTATGCAATTTCGGTGTATTTTTAGATAGAATATATTTGAATAAAACTACGGATATACGGGGAATACTCCTGAAAGCCTCTGTTTATATGTTAAAAATGGTATTATTTATGTCAAACAAAAATAATAGTAAAGACTATAGGCTTTTATCAGCCTAAAAATAGTGACTTTCTTTTTTGTATGCTTGCTTTTTTTTCTTGTATGCAGAAGGCACGATGATAATGATCAGAGTTAGTGTTCAGTTGGAAAAATTGCCTATATTATTTATAAATAATCTCTTTTTATTAAGAATAAAAGATTTACAAAGGAAAATAACAAAAGATTATCGAATGAATAACTTAAGCCTCGTATATCTTTTTCCTTCTTGTATGATTTCACATAGAAAAGAAATTTGATTATTCTATCCTCACTTCAAGGTTTTTTGGTCTCTTTATTGAGAAAATTCAACTAAGAAAGTACCAATTGAATTTTAAAACATTACAACTGTCTTTCCTTTTTTTTTAATTTGAAAGAAAATTGCGTCAGCATTATTCCTTGAGTAAAATAGTATTTCAATTTTTAATTAGTATTTCTACTTAAAATAAAAGAAAATCAATAAAAAAAGTTTTATTTAGACATTTCACTTCTTTCTTTTGTCTTTAAAATTACTTTTTACTTAATGTTTTAGTTGAAATCATTTGAGTAGGTAAACCAAATTTTATATAATAGTGGATAATGATAATAATTCTACTAAAATTTAATATAATGCCAAGTTTAGATTGAAGGATACTTTTCCAGAAGTCTAGTAAGGTATTCTATTACTCTTCAAACAAGGAAATAAAAGAAACGGTAATTCTGTGACTATTTTATTACCGTTAATTTAATTTATGTTACCAATGCATATATATATATATAAACTGTATATATAGTATATGTATATATTAAAAGACGAAGAAGGTAGATAATGCGAATCAAACAATTACATTTTATACGTTCATTTATTCAAGACTACCTCTAATTCTCTTCCATTATTCCATTTCCCAAAGGGAAAAAATTAGAGAAAAATAGATTATTATCATTCCTTTGTATTCTATTAAGCGTTTTTTACTTATTCAAAAGTGATGCCCATCTCTTACAAGAAAAAAAGGTGAATACACTTGGCTTAGCTATAAAATATATCAGCAAAGCAATAAAAGCATAGAAAGTACACGAGTTTCTGTTTACTTTTGTATAAGCTGGAAACTAGTGCTTAATTTCCGATTTCTGAGAGTGTAATATCTAAAAAATAATATCAGCTTTGTGTTCTTGGTTCCTGTCTATGCTATTTGACAGAAAGTTTATATAGCAAAGCTTCTGGTTTTTACTTTTCTTCTTCCAAACTTTTTGATATATTAGATATTCTATACCATACTTTAGGTGACAAAAATAGCGGGTTTTATCAATAACTTTATCTG